ACTAGAACAGAACTAGAACAGAGAACTAGAACAGAACTAGAACAGAACTAGAACAGAACTAGAACAGAAACTAGAACAGAACTAGAACAGAACTAGAACAGAACTAGAACAGAACTAGAAGAACTAGAACAGAACTAGAACAGAACTAGAACAGAACTAGAACAGAACTAGAACAGAACTAGAACAGAACTAGAACAGAACTAGAGAACAGAACTAGAACAGAACTAGAACAGAACTAGAACAGAACTAGAACAGAACAGAACTAGAACTAGAACAGAACTAGAACAGAACTAGAACGAACTAGAACAGAACTAGAACAGAACTAGAACAGATACTAGAACACTAGAACAGAACAGAACAGAACTAGAACAGAACTAGAACAGAACTAGAACAGAACTAGAACAAACTAGAACAGAACTAGAACAGAACTAGAACAGAACTAGAACAGAACTAGAACAGAACTAGAACAGAACTAGAACAGAACTAGAACAGAACTAGAACAGAACTAGAACAGAACTAGAAACAGAACTAGAACAGAACTAGAACAGAACTAGAACAGAACTAGAACAGAACTAGAACAGAACTAGAACAGAACTAGAACAGAACTAGAACAGAACTAGAACAGAACTAGAACAGAACTAGAACAGAACTAGAACAGAACTAGAACAGAACTAGAACAGAACTAGAACAGAACTAGAACAGAACTAGAACAGAACTAGAACAGAACTAGAACAGAACTAGAACAGAACTAGAACAGAACTAGAACAGAACTAGAACAGAACTAGAACAGAACTAGAACAGAACTAGAACAGAACTAGAACAGAACTAGAACAGAACTAGAACAGAACTAGAACAGAACTAGAACAGAACTAGAACAGAACTAGAACAGAACTAGAACAGAAACTAGAACAGAACTAGAACAGAACTAGAACAGAACTAGAACAGAACTAGAACAGAACTAGAACAGAACTAGAACAGAACTAGAACAGAACTAGAACAAACTAGAACAGAACTAGAACAGAACTAGAACAGAACTAGAACAGAACTAGAACAGAACTAGAACAGAACTAGAACAGAACTAGAAAAAACTAGAACAGAACTAGAAAAGAACTAGAACAGAACTAGAACAGAACTAGAACAGAACTAGAACAGAACTAGAACAGAACTAGAACAGAACTAGAACATAACTAGAACAGAACTAGAACAGAACTAGAACAAAACTAGAACAGAACTAGAACAGAACTAGAACAGAACTAGAACAGAACTAGAACAGAACTAGAACAAAACTAGAACAGAACTAGAACAGAACTAGAACAGAACTAGAACAGAACTAGAACAGAACTAGAACATAACTAGAACATAACTAGAACAGAACTAGAACAGAACTAGAACAGAACTAGAACAAAACTAGAACAGAACTAGAACAGAACTAGAACAGAACTAGAGCAAACTAGAACAGAACTAGAACAGAACTAGAACAGAACTAGAACAGAACTAGAACAGAACTAGAACAGAACTAGAACAGAACTAGAACAGAACTAGAACAGAACTAGAACAGAACTAGAACAGAACTAGAACAGAACTAGAACAGAACTAGAACAGAACTAGAACAGAACTAGAACAGAACTAGAACAGAACTAGAACAGAACTAGAACAGAACTAGAACAGAACTAGAACAGAACTAGAACAGAACTAGAACAGAACTAGAACAGAACTAGAACAGAACTAGAACAGAACTAGAACAGAACTAGAACAGAACTAGAACAGAAGTAGAACAGAACTAGAACAAAACTAGAACTGAATTAGAACAGAACTAGAACTGAACTAGAACTTCCATTTCCACTATCAACTTTTAATAATATTTTTGCGCAGTATGATCTGAATACCTTATATAATTTGGTGTAATAGTGAAAAATCTGTTTAGATGTTCATATTCTCCATTTGTTATCGTGTTTAAATTAAAAACAAATTTCCTTTACGAAATTACAATGAGATGTAGAACGCTGATTTGAAGAAAGCGTAGATGGCTATTAGCAAACGATCGTGATTATTAATTTAAACAATTGCGCCGCACATATTTTATGCAACAAATGCAAAATAATAAATTACTTTATAAATTTTAAATACACATTAAATTTATTTATTTTTTTCTTTTTTACAATTATCACGCATATCATTCTCACCCACTCTCACATACTATAATACTAACACTAATTTAATTAATACAAAATTTAGGGAATAAAATAAATTTCTAGAAAAAAAAATTAAAATAAAAAAAACTTAAAAATCAGTCTTCTCTCGAGCCCACAAAACTTGAAGTTTCATTATCTTCTTCGTTCACATCACCATCTTCATCATAGTCCAGTATGTTAAAACCTTTGGTCAATTTCTTACCAACCTGCTGCATTAATTCTTCCAAATTCATATCAACTTTAACACATTTATGCTGGATCACATCATACACCTGATCCAAGGGACACTGTATACGTTCACAGCGTAAGGTGTTGAACCAACTACTGGTATCCTTGTAGCCAGCACGACAAACACACTTATTATGGGCCACACATTGGCTATGATGAGGACAACCACCCGTACATATGGGACGACATCTCAGTTGTCGGGGCTGTTTGCTGGTTATAGAACGTACATGATGATTGTGAGACTCCTCATAGCCACGTAGACATAGGCATTTTTCCGGTTCACCACAATAACTATTGGCCGGACACAACTCGGTACAGATGGGTTCACATAGACCAAAGATTATGGTACGATAGCCAGGACAACACATGCGCAATGAATCAATGCGTACACGATCCTCAAATTCCACATAATACTCGATTAACTGAGAGTCTAACTTGAGGCGAGTCTTGGTTATGGGCACTTGATATTTGACCGTAACATTACGATAACAATGACCGGTGGTTACGGTTAAGGCGTAACAGCAACGTATGTATTTTATTATTAGAATTATGCAAATAATATTATAGTTCATATTTTGTTTTAATCGAATTTTCTATTTTATTTGTTTTGTTCTTTTTCTTTATTATAAATTGAATATTTATTGTAATTTTTTAATTAAATTAACACTATTTTAATAAATTATTTCTTTCTTCTTTTCTAGGGCCAATGTTTTTTATTGTAAATAAATTTTATGAATGAATGCCAGCATTTTTAGAAATTTCCATTCAGCCTATAAATTAAAAAAACAAACAGATTTAAACGGCAGCTTTAAAACACAATAGCATATTCATACTGATAAATAAGCACTATGGGGAATAAAAATTTTATTTACATATAAGGCATAGGTAGGTTTAGACGATACACTATAGCTTAAAAAATGATATATAATACGAGAGATACGAAACAGCTACTGACAAATACTGCACCAATCATCTCATACACTAATCGTCTCAGAAACACTCTCTCATTTTTCTGACTTTCATCCTAACTACAGATCGAACTTCTAAAAATAACTTTATTACACCGCATATTTTAGCTTCGACCCCACACAAATAAAACTCATTAAAATCGTTTCAAATTTTTATAACTATATACTAAGATCTTCAGTACATATACCTCTTCTTATACCCTTTAAAACTAATATTAATTTCCTCTTTTAAGTAGCTTAAGTCGAGCAATTTATTAAAAAAATTCATGATCCATTTGTATAAATTTTTTATATCATCATTTCTATAACGTTTATATGTACATCACATTTTATTAAATAAAAAAAAAAAAAAAAACAAAATATAAAGCAACAACAGTCTCGCACCACCAACAATAACAACAACATAAGGAACAAATTATAACACATATTAATATTATTATTAATATTTAAATAAAATATAAATACAATTTCTTTTCACTCGTAATCACACACATTTAATAGTCGCATTATAAGCTGGCTGATAATTAACCACAATGCAAAAGTTACACTAGTCTACAAAAAATTTTTAAATAGTTCTAGTTCAATTCTAGTTCCAGTTCAATTCTAGTTCAGTTCTAGTTCAGTTCTAGCTCAGTTCTAGTTCAGTTCTAGTTCAGTTCTAGTTCAGTTCTAGTTCAGTTCTAGTTCAGTTCTAGTTCAGTTCTAGTTCAGTTCTAGTTCAGTTCTAGTTCAGTTCTAGTTCAGTTCTAGTTCAGTTCTAGTTCAGTTCTAGTTCAGTTCTAGTTCAGTTCTAGTTCAGTTCTAGTTCAGTTCTAGTTCAGTTCTAGTTCAGTTCTAGTTCAGTTCTAGTTCAGTTCTAGTTCTAGTTCAGTTCTAGTTCAGTTCTAGTTTCTAGTTCAGTTCTAGTTCAGTTCTAGTTCAGTTCTAGTTCAGTTCTAGTTCAGTTCTAGTCAGTTCTAGTTCAGTTCTAGTTCAGTTCTAGTTCAGTTCTAGTTCAGTTCTAGTTCAGTTCTAGTTCAGTTCTAGTTCAGTTCTAGTTCAGTTCTAGTTCAGTTCTAGTTCAGTTCTAGTTCAGTTCTAGTTCAGTTCTAGTTCAGTTCTAGTTCAGTTCTAGTTCAGTTCTAGTTCAGTTCTAGTTCAGTTCTAGTTCATTTCTAGTACAGTTCTAGTTTCAGTTCTAGTTCAGTTCTAACTCAGTTCTAGTTCAGTTCTAGTTCAGTTCTAGTTCAGTTCAGTTCTAGTTCAGTTCTAGTTCAGTTCTAGTTCAGTTCTAGTTCAGTTCTAGTTCAGTTCTAGTTCAGTTCTAGTTCAGTTCTAGTTCAGTTCTAGTTCAGTTCTAGTTCAGTTCTAGTTCAGTTCTAGTTCAGTTCTAGTTCAGTTCTAGTTCAGTTCTAGTTCAGTTCTAGTTCAGTTCTAGTTCAGTTCTAGTTCAGTTCTAGTTCAGTTCTAGTTCAGTTCTAGTTCAGTTCTAGTTCAGTTCTAGTTCAGTTCTAGTTCAGTTCTAGTTCAGTTCTAGTTCAGTTCTAGTTCAGTTCTAGTTCAGTTCTAGTTCAGTTCTAGTTCAGTTCTAGTTCAGTTCTAGTTCAGTTCTAGTTCAGTTCTAGTTCAGTTCTAGTTCAGTTCTAGTTCAGTTCTAGTTCAGTTCTAGTTCAGTTCTAGTTCAGTTCTAGTTCAGTTCTAGTTCAGTTCTAGTTCAGTTCTAGTTCAGTTCTAGTTCAGTTCTAGTTCAGTTCTAGTTCAGTTCTAGTTCAGTTCTAGTTCAGTTCTAGTTCAGTTCTAGTTCAGTTCTAGTTCAGTTCTAGTTCAGTTCTAGTTCAGTTCTAGTTCAGTTCTAGTTCAGTTCTAGTTCAGTTCTAGTTCAGTCTAGTTCAGTTCTAGTTCAGTTCTAGTTCAGTTCTAGTCAGTTCTAGTTCAGTTTCTAGTTCAGTTCTAGTTCAGTCTAGTTCAGTCTAGTTCAGTTCTAGTTCAGTTCTAGTTCAGTTCTAGTTCAGTTCTAGTTCAGTTCTAGTTCAGTCTAGTTCAGTTCTAGTTCAGTCTAGTTCAGTTTCTAGTTCAGTTCTAGTTCAGTTCTAGTTCAGTTCTAGTTCAGTTCTAGTTCAGTTCTAGTTCAGTTCTAGTTCAGTTCTAGTTCAGTTCTAGTTCAGTTCTAGTTCAGTTCTAGTTCAGTTCTAGTTCAGTTCTAGTTCAGTTCTAGTTCAGTTCTAGTTCAGTTCTAGTTCAGTCTAGTTCAGTTCTAGTTCAGTTCTAGTTCAGTTCTAGTTCAGTTCTAGTTCAGTTCTAGTTCAGTTCTAGTTCAGTTCTAGTTCAGTTCTAGTTCAGTTCTAGTTCAGTTCTAGTTCAGTTCTAGTTCAGTTCTAGTTCTAGTTCTAGTTCAATTCTAGTTCATTTCTAGTTCATTCTAGTTCAGTTCTAGTTCAGTTCTAGTTCAGTTCTAGTTCAGTTCTAGTTCAGTTCTAGTTCAGTTCTAGTTCAGTTCTAGTTCAGTTCTAGTTCAGTTCTAGTTCAGTTCTAGTTCAGTTCTCGCTCAGGTTCAGTTCTATTTTGCGATTAGTGAAGATTTTGTTGTTCTAGTTTTTTCCAATATATATTACTCTTGTTAAACAGTGTAATATACACTTTACTTACTGCTGAACTAAATGCTGTTGTTAAATAATGAAAAATATGTATATACATGTGATATTTGTTGGAATATATTGGATTTTTATATAATTCCAACATACATCTGTGTGACCCTCTTCGTGCAAGTGTGAGTGTAATTAAGTTCGAAAAACTTTATCACAGATAAGACACTTTCAACAATAACAAAACTGGCGTGATGCCTGGCTGACTGTTGAAAGTAGCACTAAAAGATTTCTATGCATATCCCAGTGGGCAGAGAAGGTTTAAGAATCATATAACATATTAACAAATATATACATTACGTTTGATCGGCAACGAATCTGTAGATTTTATAACACATCGGGCAGTCTAAAAATTCGTATTGTTTTAAAAATAAGCTTTATGTGTGAATATATTTGTAGGTGATAAGTTTTGTTGTTTTCGTGATATTTTGTTTCCAGATCATCATTATGGGGGGTACAATACAGAAATTTGTTTGTTCTTATCATTGAAAACAAAATATATGTATATTTTTTATCAATTTCTGAAATTTATTATTTTATTTATAAGCTTAAACAAAATTTAAAAATAGCACCAAATAATGATCAATTATGTAGAGAAGAATTTTAATAATAAGAAAAAAAAGGACAAATAGAATGAGTTATTGGGCGTGTTTGAAATCATTATGATCAACATAGTCGTAGAATGAGTTATCGACCATATACAATTTAGGCGTGAGTATATAACAGTGTATAGGCAATGTATAGAGCAATATATAGATGTGACTATAGTCCAATCTTTAAGTGAGACTATAGGGCAGTGTGTAAGCGGGTCTATATTCGACACTGTAGGTCGATTTTTAGCCGACACTTCATAACAGTCTGAGATTATAGACCAGTCAATAGGGAAGACTATAGATCACTCTATAAGCGAGACTAAATATCAGTCTGAAAGCGATACTATAGATCAGCCTATAAATGAGACTATAGATCAGTCTATAGGCGAGATTATAGATCAGTCTATAGGCGAGACTATAGATTATTCTATGGGCGAGACTATAGATTAGTCTATTGACGAGACTATAGATCAGTCTATAGTCTATAGGTCAGGCTACAGATAAGTCTAAAGATGAGACTATTGATCAGTCTATAGGCGACACTATTGATCAGTCTATAAGCGGGCCTATAGATCAGTCTATAGGGGAGATTATAGATCAGCCTATAGGTAAGACTTTAGATCAGTCTATAGGCGAGTCTATATATCAGTCTACAGGCTAGGCTAAAGATCAGTCTATAGGCTAGGCTATAGATCAGTCTATAGGCTAGGCTATAGATCACTCTATAGGCGAGATCATAGATCAGCCTATAGGCAAGACTTTAGATCAGTCTATAGGCGAGTCTATATATCAGTCTACGGGTGAGGCTGTAGATCAGCGTATAGACGAAACTATAGATCAGTCTATAGGCGACTCTATATAGCAGTCCATAGGCGAAACTAAAGATCAGTCTATAGGTGAGACTATTTATTGGCGAGACTATAGATCAATCTATAATCGAGATTATAGATCAGCTTATTCGTGATACTATAGACCAGTCTATAAGCGACACTATAGACCAGTCTATAAGAGAGACCATTCAATATTCGAGAGCAGTTTATAGACGACACTAAAGACCAGCTTGAATTCTATAGGCGAAAGAATAGAGCAACCTGTAGGCGAGATCAGTCTGTATCTAAAAATATTTTCATAATAAATGTGCGTCATTTCTATGGTAACTTTCTATAACTATGGTGGTTCTTGGTCGATCTATAAATAGAATCAAATTTCCAAAGGTAGCAAAAACCGCAAGATAAATGTTTGAGTAAAACGTTTAACTAGACTAAATAAATATTTTTTTCTTTTGAAATAATAAAATAATATGTAGACGAAGCACGAGTAATATTAAAGTGTAGTGTTAATAAAAACATATTCAAAACATAAAATTTTAATGAAAAATAACACACGGTATCAGAATTGTTAACACATTTATTTAAAAAACTCTTTATATTGTAACACAACTAAATACAACAGTCATAATATACAAAAACGCTATAGATATTGAGAAAAATCCTAGGCTAGCATAAAACCTATTCACAGCTGCTTGACCAAAAACAAGTTTCTGCTCCGAAATATTTGGTCTAAGTGTAGTAAATTCGCTCGTTGGGGTTTCCGAAAGATCTCTTTTATAGCGATAATCTCCTCTCAATTCACCATTATCATCCACTAAATCACTATCAAAATCTTCATACTTTTTTGTAGAGAACACTAAAGACTCTGTTGTCATCTTTAGATTTTCTGCCGTTAATAATTTATTAGTAATTCGTAATTCTTCCATTGTTGTCGTTTTAGTATTAGGTCTAGATGCCAGCTCGCAATGGGGTAAACCATCTTCTTCTGAGATTATAGTTTCGTATCCATTTTCACAAGTACATCTGTCCTGGCCTGTACATTCAGCATTTACCGGACAAGGCCACTCACATGAAAATGATTGTGTATAAGAAATGTAACATATTATCAAAACTATATTGTATTTAAACATTTTTAATTTAATTTCGCACAATTATTTTTTCTTCAATGTTTTCAACTCGCTAATGAAATGTAGACTGTTGTAGGTTTTAAAACAAATTAAATGTTAGTACTTAAACCAAATTATTATTAAACAATTTTGCGGTATTATGGTCGTACATAATCTACGTCGTACATACAAACATTTTGAGGTGAACCCTTTCAAGGAACGGAACAAAAGGGGAGAAAAAAAAGGGGGAAGAGGGCGGCGAAAAAGGGAAAGGCAAACGGGGAGACACAGGAGAAGAGAAGGGAGAGAGGGGAGAAAACAGAAATGAGCGAGCGAGCTAGCGAGCGAGCGGAGCGAGCGAGCGAGCGAGCGAGGAGCGAGCGAGCGAGCGAGCGAGAGCGAGCGAGCGAGCGAGCGAGCGAGCGAGCGAGCTGATCGAGCGAGGAGCGAGCGAGCGAGCGAGCGCGAGTGAGCGAAGCGAGCGAGAGCGAGCGAGAGAAGCGAGCGAGCGAGCGAGCGAGCGAGCGAGCGAGCGAGCGAGCGAGCGAGCGAGCGAGCGAGCGAGCGAGCGAGCGAGCGAGCGAGCGAGCGAGCGAGCGAGCGAGCGAGCGAGCGAGCGAGCGAGCGAGCGAGCGAGCGAGCGAGCGAGCGAGCGAGCGAGCGAGCGAGCGAGCGAGCGAGCGAGAGCGAGCGAGCGAGCGAGCGAGCGAGCGAGCGAGCGAGCGAGCGAGCGAGCGAGCGAGCGAGCGAGCGAGCGAGCGAGCGAGCGAGCGAGCGAGCGAGCGAGCGAGCGAGCGAGCGAGCGAGCGAGCGAGCGAGCGAGCGAGCGAGCGAGCGAGCGAGCGAGCGAGCGAGCGAGCGAGCGAGCGAGCGAGCGAGCGAGCGAGCGAGCGAGGAGCGAGCGAGCGAGCGAGAGAGCGAGCGAGCGAGCGAGCGAGCGAGCGAGCGAGCGAGCGAGCGAGCGAGCGAGCAGCGAGCGAGCGAGCGAGCGAGCGAGCGAGCGAGCGAGCGAGCGAGCGAGCGAGCGAGCTAGCGAGCGAGCGAGCGCGCGAGCGAGCGAGCGAGCGATATAGGTCGGAGTCGAGGCGATCGAGCGAGCGATCTAATGCTATCTATCTATCATCTATCTATCGTATCTATCTATCTATCTATCTATCTATCTATCTATCTATCTATCTATTAGCGATCTATCGATCTATCTATCTATCTATCTATCTATCTATCTATCTATCTATCTATCTATCTATCTACCCTATATATGTACATTTATGGTACATGAACATGAGAACTGAACTGCATCCCCGTTCACTACCAGGGAAAGAAGTTATTTTTTCCCGTATTTAGTAGATTAAAACGCATCGTTTAAGAGGTAGTATACAGTTGTATCTAGAAAAAATAACACTGCTTTTGTTTTTTAAATATATTTAACATTATTTTAATTAGTTTTCAAACAAACTTATATTTTAATACAACCAAACATAAACACTTATGATATGCAAAAACGCCAAAACATACAGAGTAATCCCATAATGTATAAAATTTGCTATTGGTGTGTCCATTAGGACTTTCATCCTTAGAAACATTTAACCTAACTACAGGCTTTAATGTTGTGTACAATTGTTGTTCTGTAGTTAGCTTTGTAGTATCTGAACTAATGGGGCTCTCAGTTTGTGTTTTCGGGATTTCGCTAGAACTTTCTTCTACTTCCTTTTCTGGTAAGTTGTAATATTCTTCAAATTTTGTATCTTCCGGCTGATATCTTTTATTGTGAAAATCATATTCTCTTGTCGTTGGGGTTGTTTCACTTTCATCTTTTATTTCAGTTGAATAGGCTGATTCCGTACTATCTTCATCTAAAAGGATTTCAGTATTAAGTTCTTCTTGAAAATTTGTTTGAGTTTCCTGCTCAGTACTAAAAAGTTTCCACATAACTGGTGTATAGCCATAATCTTCAAATTCGAATTCATATTCTTTTTTCGTTGAGGTTGTTTCACTTTCATCTGTTATTTCAGTTGAATAGGCTGATTCCGTATGAAATTCGAATTCATATTCTGTTGTCGTTGAGGTTGTTTCACTTTCATCTGTTATTTCAGTTGAATAGGCTGATTCCGTACGAAATTCGAATTCATATTCTGTTGTAGTTGAGGTTGTTTCACTTTCATCTGTTATTTCAGTTGAATAGGCTGTCGTTGAGGTTGTTTCACTCTCATCTGTTATTTCAGTTGAATAGGCCGATTTCGTACTATCTTCGCCTAAAAGGATTTCAGTATCAAGTTCTTCTTGAAAATTTGTTTCAGTTTCCTGCTCAGTATTAAAAAGTTCCCATATATCTGGTATGTAACTATAATCTGCAAAATCGAATTTCTTTGGAAGTTCATCATTAAAATTTGTTTCAGTTTGCTGCTCAGCACTAGAAAGTTCCCATATATCTGGTGTATAGCCATAATCTTCAAATTCGAATTCATATTCTCTTGTCGTTGAGGTTGTTTCACTTTCATCTGTTATTGCAGTTGAATAGGCTGATTCCGTACGAAATTCGAATTCATATTCTGTTGTAGTTGAGGTTGTTTCACTTTCATCTGTTATTTCAGTTGAATAGGCTGTCGTGAGGTTGTTTCACTCTCATCTGTTATTTCAGTTGAAAAGGCTGATTCCGTACTATCTTCGTCTAAAAGAATTTCAGTATTAAGTTCTTCTTGAAAATTTGTTTCAGTTTCCTGCTCAGTACTAAAAAGTTCCCACATATCTGGTGTATAGCCATAATCTTCAAATTCGAATTCATATTGTTTTGTCGTTGAGGTTGTTTCACTTTCATCTGTTATTTCAGTTGAATAGGCTGATTCCGTATGAAATTCGAATTCATATTCTGTTGTCGTTGAGGTTGTTTCACTTTCATCTGTTATTTCAATTGTACTATCTTCGTCTAAAAGGATTTCAGTATTAAGTTATTCTTGAAAATTTGTTTCAGTTTCTTGCTCACCACTAAAAAATTCCCATATATCTGGTATGTATCTATAATCTGCAAGTTCGAATTCACCCTTATTGGTTGTTTTATTCCTCAACTCGCAATGTGGTAGACCATCCTCTTCTGAGATTATGGCTTCGTAGCCTGTCACACAGGTACATATGTCCTGGCCTGTACATACGGCATTTAAAGGACAATCCCATTCACACGAGAACGCTTGCGTATAAGTAACGTAGCAAATTAAGAAAACTATTTGAAAGATCAACATATTCTTTTAGTATTACAAAATTTTGATTTATTTAATTGAAATTTATGCGTAAATTTAGGCAAATGTATTTATGTTGCTAATAAAGTGAAGACTGTTCAAGGTTTTGAATTTTTTACATTATTTTAGTTATAAAATAAAATGTTGATATTAAAGTAAAATATACATTTATTGTGAAGTCTTAAAAAAAACATGTATGTGTGGTTAATTATGTTTTCAATGATTCATATTAATTATGAATCATTAATAATTTCAATAACAAATACATATTTATGTATATGTAAGTAATGTGTAAGTAATGTTTTAGATCAAATGAATTAATAATTTCTATATGATTATGCTTTGCTTATTTTCTCCAAAAAGTATGCAAATATTCAACTATAGCTTGGTCTACAATCAAGACTCGACTGCAGTCTAGACCATATACTTGACTAGACTGTAAACTAGACAAGTATTTTTAAGACTATAGTCGTCATTTTCGACTTGACTGTAAGCGAAACTATAGCTTGAAGTATAGACAAGACTATAGACTGAACTAAGGTCAAGACTGTAGACTTGACTATAGACTATTTTCTTGACTGAACCTATAATGTCTGAATGCTCGACTATAGTCTTCTCTGTAGACACGAACACATTATAATAATGTATATGCTCGACAGTAGTCTAGTCAATTTGATAGTCGAATCTATGGAGTATTATAGTCAAACAGTCAAATCCTATCTATAATCTGAGCTACAGGTACGACTACACACTGCACTATTTATAGGCGAGACTAGTTAACACGGTGATGTCACTGGAGGCAAGCAAGCAAAATGTAAATAAGTTATAAAAAGAGTTTTTCATTAAAATTTTGTGAAAAAAAAAATTAAAATTCCCCAAAAAAAAAAAATAAAAATTTCCACAAAATTGATTCAAAGGGAAGACCGAAAAGTTAAGAACAAATCAAAATGTATATTTAAGCGGTGGAAAAGCACTTAAATTAATAATAGTTAGTTAGTTAGTTAGTTAGTTAGTTAGTTAGTTAGTTAGTTAGTTAGTAGTTAGTTAGTTAGTTAGTTAGTTAGTTAGTTAGTTAGTTAGTTAGTTAGTTAGTTAGTTAGTTAGTTAGTTAGTTAGTTAGTTAGTTAGTTAGTAGTTAGTTAGTTAGTTAGTTAGTTAGTTAGTTAGTTAGTTAGTTAGTTAGTTAGTTAGTTAGTTAGTTAGTTAGTTAGTTAGTTGAGTTAGTGTTAGTTAGTTAGTTAGTTAGTTAGTTAGTAGTTAGTTAGTTAGTTAGTTAGTTAGTTAGTTAGTTAGTTAGTTAGTTAGTTAGTTAGTTAGTTAGTAGTTAGTTAGTTAGTAGTTAGTTAGTTAGTAGTTAGTTAGTTAGTTAGTTAGTTAGTTAGTTAGTTAGTTAGTTAGTTAGTTAGTTAGTTAGTTAGTTAGTTGTTAGTTAGTTAGTTAGTTGTTAGTTAGTTAGTTAGTTAGTTAGTTAGTTAGTTAGTTAGTTAGTTAGTTAGTTAGTTAGTTAGTTAGTTAGTTAGTTAGTAGTTAGTTAGTTAGTTAGTTAGTTAGTTAGTTAGTTAGTTAGTTAGTTAGTAGTTAGTAGTTAGTTAGTTAGTTAGTTGTTAGTTAGTAGTTAGTTGTTAGTTAGTTAGTTAGTAGTTAGTTAGTTAGTTCGTTAGTTAGTTAGTTCGTTAGTTAGTAGTTAGTGTAGTTAGTTAGTTAGTTAGTTAGTGTAGTTAGTTAGTTAGTTAGTTAGTTAGTTAGTTAGTTAGTTAGTTAGTTAGTTAGTTAGTTAGTTAGTTAGTTAGTTAGTTAGTTAGTTAGTTAGTTAGTAGTTAGTTAGTTAGTTAGTTAGTTAGTTAGTTAGTTAGTTAGTTAGTTAGTTAGTAGTTAGTTAGTTAGTTAGTTAGTTAGTTAGTTAGTTAGTTAGTTAGTTAGTTAGTTAGTTAGTTAGTTAGTTAGTTAGTTAGTTAGTTAGTTAGTTAGTTAGTTAGTTAGTTTTACTATACATTCATACAGTACTCCCTTTATATAAACAACTTACAGTTACAGAGTGCATTTTTGCAATTTTTTTTTTTTCAAAAAAAAGAAAAAACTGAAATTATCTAAAGCGGATATAAGTAAATATTACTGCTGATCCATAGCAAGTTTTCTGTTAAGTATTATTTTAATTCAGTAAGTGTTTTTAGTTGTTATAAAAAACGCATAAAATTCTTATACTTTTATACTTTTTAACGGAAAACATTTTTATGAATTATTCAAGAAAATGAAAATTTGTTTATTAAACTACTGTGGGTTTTTAATAATTTTATTAAGAGTATTACTTACAAAAAGTCAATATTGTCACAAGGTGAAAGAAGTTGAAAGGACACGTTTACAATATATACCCAATAGACGTTTAGTAACCAAATCAAGTTTATATGGTGTGAAACATAAATATGAAACGACTTATATGACAAAGATACAGGTAAGTACCTTCAAAAGATGGCCTATGAAGGACCATTGAATGTAACAGTTATCAAATTGTTTTATATAAATATTCTTTTAAAAAAATCAACATCAAAATGCCTTAAGAACAGAAAATTGTTACGACATTGCCAAGTAGTTGAGATAAATTTAAAAATTCCTTTAGTTTAAATCAGTGGTCGACATAAAGAGAACATAGTAATATACTTTTGAAAATAAATCGAGTATAACAGAATATTCTCTAAAGTTTTTACATGTAATATGTATTGCAAATGGTTCATACTTTTCTAAAGGGATCTTTTCTCTAGGCCTCTGGAGTCTAGAGATGTTAACACCATTTTAAATAGATTTTCTCTTTCATTCAGGGCTTATTTGTTTCTTTAAAAAGCGGATGCTTACTATATATGTATATTTCATAAAAAATAAGAAACTAGACTTGAAATAAACGCCTTTAAACTGATGTCATTACTTTTGTTTTTGTTTTTTGCTTTCATTGGCGAAAAATTATATAAAAAAATATAAAAACGATAAGTTTTTCTTTCTTATTGAAAGTGTGCTGAAATATTTTCATAAATTATTTTGTAAAAAAAAAAAAATTCTATAAATTTCATCTCAGTTAGTTTCAGTTTAAATTAAGACTCATTTGGTTGTGGCTGAAGCATTTATTCTGTAAAAAAATTTTTTCTTTAAAAATTAAAACATTTTCCTTAAAATGAATTATTTCATAAAATTGTTTATATTACAATTATTGTTTAATAGTTTGCACTTAATAACAGCTCAGTGGTGTCAAAAATATCAATCGGTTGTGAAAACTCGTATTTATTGGAATAATGGTCAACGTATGGTGTCAAAGCGTAACTTTTTCGGTGGCATTAAATATAAATATGAACCGTATATGTATTCCACAGTACAGGTAAAGTGCAAAACAATGTACAACTGAACTACAAACAAGAATATTGTGGTTTCTTGCCAACAAAAATATATTTTGGTTTCAATAGGCGATTGGACCGTATTAGATCATTTTAAAAAGATAAAAAAATATTTGTGCTTAATTTTTTTAATCGAGGAATTGGAGACAAATTTAGACGACAAAAAAAAAAAACAAGAAGAAAAGTATAGTCGGTTATAACCAACCTAAAGTCCAAATCAGATGATCCTATTTTTAGGGGTCTAGGTGAAATAATTAAACGATTTCAACCAAATTTCATGCCGGCCGGAAGACATCAGTTTCAAAAGTTGGACCAATTGACGAGAAATGACACAAAATCGCGCGTACATATGTATATCCAAAACTCAGTTCAAATATATCAAGACAATCCCCTATTTTGTTTAAAAATTACTAATAAAAAAGAGTTAAATATCATTAAACATTCAAAGCTATTTTTCTCGAAACGAACTTTTTTGGATTATGCCCGTTTCGTAGTAAACGGGCGTTATTATTTCTTGATGACTTTGGTCAAGTGACTCAATTGCTTTCATACTACACAGTACTAGAATGTGAAGAGTAAAATGGGTTTGGGCTGATGTTTCTAAAGTCAATACCTTCAAATGTATATTAATAGGTTATGAGTCACATTCAGTATCATTTAACAGATGTATGTTTATCTTTCGGTCTAGTACGTAACATAAATAATACGGAATACAATATAGACTACAGTACACGCTACAGTCCAGTAACACAACTGCCCAGTCTTAGTTTGAGACTATACTGCAATTAATAGTTAAGATTACAGTTCAGACTATAGGCCAGACTATAGTAAATACTATAGTAAAGACTATAGTCCAGACTATAGTAAAGACTATAGTCCAGACTATAGTAAAGACTATAGTCCAGACTATAGTACAGACCAGGGACTGTAAATAACAGTTATTCTGAAATTTTTAACCAAAAAAAATCTCTATATTGGGGTCAACGTAGACCTATACTATTATATACCAATAAACTCGTATTGAAGTGCTTTTTCAGAATATATGGTGACGGAAAAATAAAAGTCTGATTGAAACAGTTAAAAAATGACTTTTATTTTTCCGTCATAAAATAAAAATTATTTGAGGAGTTTTATTTTTTCCATCAAAAAATAAAACTCATTTGGGGACTATTATTTTTTCCGTCAAATAATTAAACAATTTTTCTTTATTTTTTTCAGTCTCTTATTTTATTGAATATATCTGATATAATATGTTTGGTTATTTATTTGTTTAATTTAACAAACATAATTTTTTTCAAATTTTCTGCGGAAAGATTTAAACGCAGGTCACTTAATACCAATTTAAGAGCAGAGAACGCTCTTTCCACGCTAACCTGTGTTGCAGGAACACACTGTACAGTTTTTGCCAATTTGTATAAGTAGGGGTAATATATTTTTTTGCTTCCCAGAACTCAAAAAGGGACTTATCAATCGACAAGGGCCGTGGAGAAAAATTATCGATTTCATAGAAAGCTTTTTTTCATCATCATTATCATTTTCTTCGTTTTCTTGCTCCCTATCTGATCAGTGGCAAGCTTTAGGTGTCAATTCACATAAAAGAGTTTTATTTTCTGACGGAAAAAATAAAACTCCTCAAATAAGTATTATTTTCTGACGGAAAAAATTAAACTCCTCAAATAATTTTTATTTGATGACGGAAAAATAAAACTCTTTTTTAAAAGTTTCATTTGAATTTTTATTTTTGGGTTGAATAATAACTTTTTCAGATGGATTTTTATTTTAAAGTCACAAAATAACTGTTATAAATTATCTTTTTTGATATAACTTATAACTGTTACGGTCCCTGGTACAGACTATAGTTCGGACTATAGTACAGACCATAGTCCGGACTAAAGATGAGACTATACACACTAAAGTATCAGCTATAGTCCAGACTATAGTTGATACTATAGTCCAGACTACAGTTGATACTATAGTCCAGACTACAATTGATACTATAAACCAGACGATAGCCTAGAGAGTAGTTCAAACTATAGTCCAGACTATAGTTGACACCATAAAAGAGACTGTAATCCAGGCTATAGTTGAGAGTATAGTCCGGTCTATATATACGACTTAGTCCAGACTATAGTTGATACTATACTCCAGACTATAGTTGAGACTCTAGTCTAGACTATAGTTGAGATTCTAGTCTAGACTATAGTTGAGATTATAGTCCAGACTATAGTCCAGATTATAGTCCAGAGTATAGATTAGACTATAGTCCAGGCTATAGTTTAGACTATAGTTGAGACTATAGTCCAAACTTTAATCCAGTCTAGAATATAACTAGAACTGAACTAGAACTGAACTAGAACTGAACTAGAACTGAACTAGAACTGAACTAGAACTGAACTAGAACTGAACTAGAACTGAACTAGAACTGAACTAGAACTGAACTAGAACTGAACTAGAACTGAACTAGAACTGAACTAGAACTGAACTAAAACTGAACTAGAACTGAACTAGAACTGAACTAGAACTGAACTAGAACTGAACTAGAACTGAACTAGAACTGAACTAGAACTGAACTAGAACTGAACTAGAACTGAACTAGACTGAACTAGAACTGAACTAGAACTGAACTAGAACTGAACTAGAACTGAACTAGAACTGAACTAGAACTGAACTAGAACTGAACTAGAACTGAACTAGAACTGAACTAGAACTGAACTAGAACTGAACTAGAACTGAACTAGAACTGAACTAGAACTGAACTAGAACTGAACTAGAACTGAACTAGAACTGAACTAGAACTGAACTAGAACTGAACTAGAACTGAACTGAACTGAACTAGAACTGAACTAGAACTGAACTAGAACTGAACTAGAACTGAACTAGAACTGAACTAGAACTGAACTAGAACTGAACTAGAACTGAACTAGAACTGAACTAGAACTGAACTAGAACTGAACTAGAACTGAACTAGAACTGAACTAGAACTGAACTAGAACTGAACTAGAACTGAACTAGAACTGAACTAGAACTGAACTAGAACTGAACTAGAACTGAACTAGACTGAGAACTGAACTAGAACTGAACTAGAACTGAATTAGAACTGAACTAGAACTGAACTAGAACTGAACTAGAACTGAACTAGAACTGAACTAGAACTGAACTAGAACTGAACTAAAACTGAACTAGAACTGAACTAGAACTGAACTAGAACTGAACTAGAACTGAACTAGAACTGAACTAGAACTGAACTAGAACTGAACTAGAACTGAACTAGAACTGAACTAGAACTGAACTAGAACTGAACTAGAACTGAACTAGAACTGAACTAGAACTGAACTAGAACTGAACTAGAACTGAACTAGAACTGAACTAGAACTAGAACTGAACTAGAACTGAACTAGAACTGAACTAGAACTGAACTAGAACTGAACTAGAACTGAACTAGAACTGAACTAGAACTGAACTAGAACTGAACTAGAACTGAACTAGAACTGAACTAGAACTGAACTAGAACTGACTAGACTGAACTAGAACTGAACTAGAACTGACTAGAACTGAACGAGAACTGAACTAGAACTGAACTAGAACTGACTAGAACTGACTAGAACTGAACTAGAACTGAACTAGAACTGAACTAGAACTGAACTAAGAACTGAACTAGAACTGAACTAGAACTGAAACTAGAACTGAACTAGAACTGAACTAGAACTGAACTAGAACTGAACTAGAACTGAACTAGAACTGACTAGAACTGAACTAGAACTGAACTAGAACTGAACTAGAACTGAACTGAACTAGAACGAACTTAGAACTGAACTAGAACTGAACTAGAACTGAACTAGACTGAACTGAAACTGACTAGAACTGAACTAGAACTGAACTAGAACTGAACTAGAACTGAACTAGAACTGAACTAGAACCTGAACTAGAACTGACAGAATAGAACTAGAACTGACTAGAACTGAACTAGAACTGACTAGAACTGAACTAGAACTGAACTAGAAACTGAACTAGAACTGAACTAGAACTGAACTAGAACTGAACTAGAACTGACTAGAACTGAACTAGAACTGACTAGAACTGAACTAGAACTGACTAGAACTAGAACTGAACTAGAACTGAACTAGAACTGAACTAGAACTGAACTAGAACTGAACTAGAACTGAACTAGAACTGAACTAGAACTGAACTAGAACTGAACTAGAACTGAACTAGAACTGAACTAGAACTGAACTAGAACTGAACTAGAACTGAACTAGAACTGAACTAGAACTGAACTAGAACTGAACTAGAACTGAACTAGAACTGAACTAGAACTGAACTAGAACTGAACTAGAACTGAACTAGAACTGAACTAGAACTGAACTAGAACTGAACTAGAACTGAACTAGACTGAACTAGAACTGAACTAGAACTGAACTAGAACTGAACTAGAACTGAACTAGAACTGAACTAGAACTGAACTAGAACTGAACTAGAACTGAACTAGAACTGAACTAGAACTGAACCAGAACTGAACTAGAACTGAACTGAACTAGAACTGAACTAGAACTGAACTAGAAATGAACTAGAACTGAACTAGAACTGAACTAGAACTGAACTAGAACTAGAACCTGAACTAGAACTGAACTAGAACTGAACTAGAACTGAAACTAGAACTGAACTAGAACTGAACTAGAACTGAGCTAGAACTGAACTAGAACTGAACTAGAACTGACTAGAACTGAACTAGAACTGAACTAGAACTGAACTGATAGTCCAGACTATAGTTGAGACTATAGCCCAGACTATAGTTTGAGACTATAGTCCAGACTATAGTTGAGACTATAGTCCAGACTATAGTTGAGACTATAGTCCAGACTATAGTTGAGACTATAGTCCAGACGATAGTTGAGACTATAGTCCAGACTATAGTTGAGACTATAGTCCAGACTATAGTTGAGACTATAGTTTAGACTATAGTACAGGCTACTGTTTAGACTATAGTTGAGACTATAGTCCAAACTAGAATCCAGACTATAGTTGAGACCGTAGTACAGACTATATTCCAGGCTATAATTGAGAGTATAGTCCAATCTATAGATACAACTTAGTCCAAGTATAGTTGATATTATACTCCTGACTATAGTTTAGACTGTAGTCCATAATAATTTGAAAAATAGAACTCCAAACTATAGTTGAGACAATACATATTTGACTCCTTAGTCTAGTTGCGGCTATAAACCTCGACTAATATTGAGGCTATAGTCCAGATCAAACTTGAGAATATAATTTATCCCTATTGTAGGAGTGACTTTCGTCTGTACAAGAATCTATATTGGAAACTATTGTCGGAACTATATAAAAGACAAGTTTAAGGTAATGTGGCCATTGATACTGTTGCTAGCGTAAGTCACTTTACAGCTATATTACTTTATAGTTTTAAAAATAAAGTCGTTATTTTAGATATTTAATAGCTGACTAACAGTTTCAGACAAACCTCAGAACATTCTCTACGTGTGGCTTCGGATCAAGTTTGCAAAAAAAAATTGTATAGTAAATATTGTTTAGAATGAAATATTTTATTAAAATAATTTTATTACAAATCCTTTGTCATCATTTTTACTGTGCAAAACCGCTCAATGGTGTAATAGTTATCAATTGGTGAATAAAACTCGTGTCAAATGGCGTAAAGGTGAACGCGTGGTGACAAGGAGAAATTTTTTAATGTTATTCGATATTCAAATGTGCCTTATCAGTACTCAATCGTAGAGGTAAAATATTGTAAATCGTTTGAAATAGAGATGGAACTTTTTAGGAAGTTTTCAAGGATTAAAAATTAAAAGCCGACTTTTTTTTTAAATACTTTTTTTTGGTCCTTTTTCCAGAATTATCATGACTACGAGCGGGTCAGTGTTTGTTGTGATGGTTACACCAAAATTAGTGATAGCAAATGTGAACCGATTTGCCGTCCTTCGTGTCCCACAAATACCCATTGTATACGACCAAATATCTGTGAATGTGATGTGAACTATAGAGGTTACACTGCTAGTGCTATTGCTATACAATGTGAACCGATTTGTTTGCCAAAATGTCCGAAAAATGCCCAGTGTATTGCACCAAATGAATGCCGCTGTAATAGTGGTTATCAAGCAGATCCAGCTAGCGGTGAATGTTTGCCCATATGTAATAAGTGTCCCGATAATTCGAAATGTACCCAACCCGATCAGTGTACATGTAATGCGGGATATTTAGATAATGGTGAGGGCGAATGTAAGCCAATATGCAGTAAGGCATGTCCTGAATTCGCTGAATGTACACAACCGGAGAATTGTACTTGTCTGGAGGGTTTACAAAATGAATGAGGGTAAATGTGAGGCCATATGTGAGCAGGAATGTCCTGAAAATTCCCTTTGTACTAAACCCAATGAATGTGTTTGCCAAGAAGGTTATGAGGAGGCAGAGTATTTAAATGCTATTAGATTTAAATGTTTTCCAAAATGCGATAATGGTTGCCCTTTAAATGCAAAATGTATTAAGCCCAATATCTGTGGGTGTCAATGGGGTTATAAAATGTCATCAGATAATGTATGTCAACCTGTTTGTAAAAACGACTGTCCTCAACATGCCACTTGTAGTGAACCCAATAGATGTACCTGCAACAAAGGCTATAAGCTGCTAGAGCTAGAATGTCTACCAGTTTGCGAGAAAGCCTGTCCAGAACATGCCAGCTGTAGTGAGCCCAATAAATGCCAATGTGAGGCTGGTTATCAAATGTCAGCAGAAAATGTGTGCCAACCTATTTGTGAAAACGAATGTCCTCAACATGCCACTTGTAGTGAACCTAATAAATGCACCTGCAACAAAGGCTATGAGCTGCTAGAGCAACAATGTCAACCGGTTTGTGAGAAAGCCTGTCCAGAACATGCCAGCTGTAGTGAGCCCAATAAATGTCAATGTGAAGCTGGTTATCAATTGAAATTATCCTCCATATATAATCTATTCTGTGAACCGGTTTGTCAAGCCAACTGTACCACATTTGGTAAATGTGTACAGCCCAATATATGCGAATGTTTAGAAGGTTATGAATGGATGAGCTGGAGGTATGTCAACCGATTTGTAGTAAAGGCTGTAAAAATGGTTTATGTTTTCAACCTGAAATCTGTATCTGTAATCCGGGCTATTTAATGGGTCCGCAAGAAGAATGTGAACCATTCTGTTCGTTGCACTGTCAAAATGGTTCTTGCATTGAGCCAGAAATATGTCAGTGTCATGAGGGTTATAAATTCAAAAATAACTCTATAAATATATGTGAACCCCTATGTGATCCTCCGTGTATAAATGGTATTTGTGTGGCACCAAATGTTTGTATATGCCATGAAAATTATGAACCCACAACAACTGAAAAGGGACTAAACCATCACAATTGTCAAGTATTAGCCAGCACCACTATTACTACTACAATACAACCGGAATACGAAACCAGCACCCACCAACCAGAGTCTACCACTCACACATTAACTACCCTAACAGCACTAGATCTCACCAGCACCCTAAATCCCGATCAATTAAGACAAACTTCAGCCAGCACCTTAGTCTCGGCCGATATATGCAATGCTCGTTGCCATTGTTGGCAAGAGTTTGATGAATATGGTCCTTTGGTAACAAAGCAATGTGTACGTTTATGTGTAGATGCCTTTGACAAACCCTGTCTAGATTTAAATCGTTGTCAATGTGATGACGCCAAAAATCATCTAATCTGTCACGATTCGGATGATTCCATGGAACAGGACGACGATCCCCTTTTCTATATGTGTAATCTAGAACGTTTTCAAGCTACTACCTTTAAACCGCTAAACGATGGCGTAAGTAGTGACATGAAAAGTGTACAACCGGAAACAGAGTCAAGATTTCCTTGGTGGTGGCCCGCCACAGCGGCAGTTTTCGTTGTTCTAAAGTGTAATTGGGGGATTGTTATATGTACGCTTTAGAAAATTTGAGGGTGAGTAAGCGGAGAAATATTTTTGTTTGTGTTTTTGCTTTATCTTATGTTTTTTTTTCTAGAGCCCATTGTGGAGTATGAACTGTGATGAGTAATTTACATAAAAACATTAAAAAAAACAATTTATTATTATTTATAAAAAAATAAAACAAAAGAATGTATGTATTTTAGTAATACAAATGAAATATTTATATAAGTAAATAAGAACTAACACATACACATACAAATAAATAAAATATTTTATATAAAACTAGTTCTATAAACTTCTGATAAATTAGCTCAGTTCAGTTTTAGTTCAGTTCTAGCTCAGTTCTGGTTCAGTTCTAGTTCAGTTCTAATTCAGTTCTAGTTCAGTTCTAGTTCAGTTCTAGTCCAGTTCTAGTTCAGTCTAGTTCAGTTCTATTCGTCAGTTCAGTTCTAGTTCAGTTCTAGTTCATTCTAGTTCAGTTCTAGTTTCAGTTCTAGTTCAGTTCTAGTTCAGTTCTAGTTCAGTTCTAGTTCAGTTAGTTCGTAGTTCAGTTCTAGTTCGTTCTAGTTCAGTTCTAGTTCAGTTCTAGTTCAGTTCTAGTTCAGTTTCTAGTTCAGTTCTAGTTCAGTTCTAGTTCAGTTCTAGTTCAGTTCTAGTTCAGTTCTAGTTCAGTTCTAGTTCAGTTCTAGTTCAGTTCTAGTTCAGTTCTAGTTCAGTTCTAGTTCAGTTCTAGTTCAGTTCTAGTTCAGTTCTAGTTCAGTTCTAGTTCTGTTCTAGTTCAGTTCTAGTTCAGTTCTAGTTCAGTTCTAGTTCAGTTCTAGTTCAGTTCTAGTTCAGTTCTAGTTCAGTTCTAGTTCAGTTCTAGTTCAGTTCTAGTTCAGTTCTAGTTCAGCTCTAGTTCAGTTCTAGTTCAGTTCTAGTTCAGTTCTAGTTCAGTTCTAGTTAGTTCTAGTTCAGTTCTAGTTCAGTTCTAGTTCAGTTCTAGTTCAGTTCTAGTTCAGTTCTAGTTCAGTTTAGTTCAGTGCTAGTTCAGTTCTAGTTCAGTTCTAGTTCAGTTCTAGTTCAGTGCTAGTACAGTTCTAGTTCAGTTCTAGTTCAGTTCTAGTTCAGTTCTAGTTCAGTTCTAGTTCAGTTCTAGTTCAGTTCTAGTTCAGTTCTAGTTCAGTTCTAGTTCAGTTCTAGTTCAGTTCTAGTTCAGTTCTAGTTCAGTTCTAGTTCAGTTTAGTTCAGTTCTAGTTCAGTTCTAGTTCAGTTCTAGTTCAGTTCTAGTTCAGTTCTAGTTCAGTTCTAGTTCAGTTCTAGTTCAGTTCTAGTTCAGTTCTAGTTCAGTTCTAGTTCAGTTCTAGTTCAGTTCTAGTTCAGTTCTAGTTCAGTTCTAGTTCAGTTCTAGTTCAGTTCTAGTTCAGTTCTAGTTCAGTTCTAGTTCAGTTCTAGTTCAGTTCTAGTTCAGTTCTAGTTCAGTTCTAGTTCAGTTCTAGTTCAGTTCTAGTTCAGTTCTAGTTCAGTTCTAGTTCAGTTCTAGTTCAGTTCTAGTTCATTCTAGTTCAGTTCTAGTTCAGTTCTAGTTCAGTTCTAGTTCAGTTCTAGTTCAGTTCTAGTTCAGTTCTAGTTCAGTTCTAGTTCAGTTCTAGTCAGTCTTCAGTTCTAGTTCAGTTCTAGTTCAGTTCTAGTTCAGTAGTTCAGTTCTAGTTCAGTTCTAGTTCAGTTCTAGTTCAGTTCTAGTTCAGTTCTAGTTCAGTTCTAGTTCAGTTCTAGTTCAGTTCTAGTTCAGTTCTAGTTCAGTTCTAGTTCAGTTCTAGTTGTTCTAGTTCAGTTCTAGTTCAGTTCTAGTTCAGTTCTAGTTCAGTTCTAGTTCAGTTCTAGTTCAGTTCTAGTTCAGTTCTAGTTCAGTTCTAGTTCAGTTCTAGTTCAGTTCTAGTTCAGTTCTAGTTCAGTTCTAGTTCAGTTCTAGTTCAGTTCTAGTTCAGTTCTAGTTCAGTTCTAGTTCAGTTCTAGTTCAGTTCTAGTTCAGTTCTAGTTCAGTTCTAGTTCAGTTCTAGTTCAGTTCTAGTTCAGTTCTAGTTCAGTTCTAGTTCAGTTCTAGTTCAGTTCTAGTTCTAGTTCAGTTCTAGTTCAGTTCTAGTTCAGTTCTAGTTCCGTTCTAGTTCAGTTCTAGTTCAGTTTCTTCAGTTCTAGTTCAGTTCTAGTTCAGTTCTAGTTCAGTTCTAGTAGTTTGTTCAGTTCTAGTTCAGTTCTGTCAGTTCTAATCAGTTCTAGTTCAGCTATTGTCAGTTCTAGTTCCAGTTTGTTCCAATAATGGTTTCAGTTTGATTTCAAAATTAGTTCTGGTTAGTTCTTTTGGAATGCAGTAAAATTCTAATTTTCTGATAGACAAATAAGAAAGCAAAGGTGATTAGAACTTTATTTAGTAAATTGTAATTTGTTAGATATTTTTTACTGGTTTTATATTTACTAGAAAAAATTATTTATTTTGCAGTTCCGTTCAAAATTTCAAAATTTTTAGACAATCTTTCCATATCCTTCCGATATTTTGTCGAAAGGATGATAGGCACCACAGGGAAAGAAATATGTTTGGAATATTTTTAAATATCTTTGGAATCTCTTCCAAAATATTTAGAATCTATTTTAAAGATATATGGAATCTTTGGTTAATGATCTTTGGGATCTTTGCTATATTTACTTAAGATATTTAAGATATATTCTTTCATAAGATTTTGGATCTTCAGGTTCTTTTCTAAAGATCTTTAAAGTCTTTTCTAATGAACATTAAATGTAAAAGTAAACCATAGCTTGTTCAGAAAATACTCTAACGCTTATAGTTGCTGGTGATCCCTTTAGGCTGTTCTGAATAAATATAAATAGAATGGCATTAAGTGATTAATTTATACAGAATTTTCTTAACTAATTTTACCAATATAAAGTTATAATTTATTTCATTAAAAATTTCTAAATTTATATCACAATTAACTAGTTTAATTTAAAGAGAATTCTCATTTATTTGGGTATACACTGCGTGGAACGCTCATGATATGTGAAGCCAGGATTACAGATACATCTATTGCGACTGTAGCAAATGCCATTGTCACATTTTCTAATGAATAAAACAAATCCATTAAAATATTATATTGAATCATACATTCCTTATACTTACTGATAACAATCTGCTTGACAGACACCGTCTTTCTTATCAAATCCTGGCGCACATAAACAATTATTTGGACTCTGACAGGTGCCACCATTACCGCATTCAGGCTGACATAAGGGCTGGCAATCATTGTCGGTTAGCACATAACCCTTATTACAGCCACACACTTCCGGTTCAGTGCAATTGTGCAAACGGCTATTGCCACAACCTTTACTGCAAATGGGTCGACAGAATTTCCTCGATTCATCCAACTTATAGCCGGGATCACATTGACATGTGCCATCTAAATAGCAACGTCCATTCAGACAACCCATGGGACAGGTGAAAACACAATCACCATTATCATTGGCCACATATTCATCATAACACTCACATACACCCGGTGCAATACAACGACCATTTTGGCAGTTGTCACAGATTGGACGACAAAGCGTGCGACCACGCCAACGCATGGGTGCATAACCCTTACAGCAGATTTCTATATACACCGAACCAGTAATTTTATTATCTTGTTTTCTCTCGGCATTTGGATATTTATCTAAAGCATCCATTCTATCAAAAAACAAAACAGTTAGAACAAAATCATGTTATTACTTTAAAAACACTATTCTACTTACGGTACCCATATGTGGCACTTATGCTGCAAAGAATCTTCACGATTTTCCATAGTAACATTATCATGTTGTTGCTGTTCTTCCACAATGCTGGAAGAAACCATCCAGCCATTAGGATTATTTCTACCCAAATTGCGATTATTACGATTATAATATGTATTGTCCATATTTTTGATATTGACTCTTCTCTCGTTCACCTCTTCTGCGTCCCGCAGCAGGCGTTTCATACTCGTTTTGATACTTTCCACCATAACCGGTAGCTGGCTGCTGGTAACTATTGCCCAAACGTTGTCTATTTCTAGGCTCTAAACGATTCGGTCCATTTCTCGCATCAAAACTATTCTGATACTCATTTTCACTATCGCCCATTAAAATATCACCATAAGGTTGATTATAATGTCCGGCTCCTAAAACTGTAACTATTAACTGTAACTGGGCCAACACTAGAGCCACTATTATGGCCATAACTGGTAATTTAATTATGTAATTATTTCTATGCATTTCACTAGCTTTAAAAAATTTAACTTGTTTGCTTTCGATGCTCAAAAATTCAACTAAATTGTTTTAATTAAAATATTTTTTTGCACTTGTTTTGATTTAAAGAAAAAAATTTTCAGTTTTTACAATTCTAATAAGTCGTCTAACATCTCAGCTCTTGGCTATTCGCTTACTGATAACATTTGTTATTTTCAAAAAATAATTTTAAGAGGAACTTTTTTGTATTTTCCATAATGAGCTTGAGCTTAACATTGATTTCTGTAGAGTGAAGGTTTTTGTAGAATTAAAAGTACTCAATGGCGTTAAGAACGCACTAACAACAAGTATATTTATCAAGTTGAAAATTATAAACAAATTTTAATTATTTATTGAAATTTTAATAACCAGGGCGACTCGGTAAAAAATTTTATTTTTAAAATTTAATTAATTAATTAAGCTTTTCACCCCTCATACCAGAACTCAACTACAATTTAACCAAAGGAGAACCAGAATTGAACCATTAGTGAACTAGAACGGCTGTAGAACTGAACTACAACTGAACCAGAATTAGAAATGAAACTGAACTAAACTATTAGTGAACTAGAACGGATGTAGAACTGAAATACAACTGAACCAGAATTAGAAATGAACTAAACTAAACTAAACTAGAACTAATCTAGAACTAAACTAGAACTGAACTAGAACTGAACTAGAACTGAACTAGAACTGAACTAGAACTGAACTAGACTGAACTAGAACTGAACTAACTGACTAGAACTGAACTAGAAACTGAACTAGAACTGAACTAGAACTGAACTAGAACTGAACTAGAACTGGAACTAGAACTGAACTAGAACTGAACTAGAACTGAACTAGAACTGAACTAGAACTGAACTAGAACTGAACTAGAACTGAACTAGAACTGAACTAGAACTGAACTAGAACTGAACTAGAACTGAACTAGAACTGAACTAGAACTGAACTAGAACTGAACTAGAACTGAACTAGAACTGAACTAGAACTGAACTAGAACTGAACTAGAACTGAACTAGAACTGAACTAGAACTGAACTAGAACTGAACTAGAACTGAACTAGAACTGAACTAGAACTGAACTAGAACTGAACTAGAACTGAACTAGAACTGAACTAGAACTGAACTAGAACTGAACTAGAACTGAACTAGAACTGAACTAGAAGTGAACTAGAACTGAACTAGAACTGAACTAGAACTGAACTAGAACTGAACTAGAAACTGAACTAGAACTGAACTAGAACTGAACTAGAACTGAACTAGAACTGAACTAGAACTGAACTAAACTGAACTAGAACTGAACTAGAACTGAACTAGAACACTGAACTAGAACTGAACTAGAACTGAACTAGAACTGAACTAGAACTGAACTAGAACTGAACTAGAACTGAACTAGAACTGAACTAGAACTGAACTAGAATGAACTAGAACTGAACTAGAACTGAACTAGAAACTGAACTAGAACTGAACTAGAACTGAACTAGAACTGAACTAGAACTGAACTAGAACTGAACTAGAACTGAACTAGAACTGAACTGAACTGAACTAGAACTGAACTAGAACTGAACTAGAACTGAACTAGAACTGAACTACAACTGAACTGGAACTGAACTAGAACTAGAACTGAACTAGAACTGAACTAGAACTGAACTAGAACTGAACTAGAACTGAACTAGAACTGAACTAGAACTGAACTAGAACTGAACTAGAACTGAACTAGAACTGAACTAGAACTGAACTAGAACTGAACTAGAACTGAACTAGAACTGAACTAGAACTGAACTAGAACTGAACTAGAACTGAACTAGAACTGAACTAGAAGTGAACTAGAACTGAACTAGACTGAACTAGAACTGAACTAGAACTGAAACTAGAACTGAACTAGAACTGAACTAGAACTGAACTAGAACTGAACTAGAACTGAACTAGAACTGAGAACTAGAACTGAATAGAACTGAACTAGAACTGAACTAGAACTGAACTAGAACTGAACTAGAACTGAACTAGAACTGAACTAGAACTGAACTAGAACTGAACTAGAACTGAACTAGAACTGAACTAGAACTGAACTAGAACTGAACTACTAGAACTGAAGTAGAACTGAACTAGAACTGAACTAGAACAGAACTAGAACTGAACTAGAACTGAACTAAAACTGAACTAGAACTGAACTAGAACTGAACTAGAACTGAACTAGAACTGAACTAGAACTGAACTAGAACTGAACTAGAACTGAACAAGAACTGAACCAGAACTGAACTAGAACTAAACTAGAACTGAACTAGAACTGAACTAGAACTGAACCAGAACTGAAAATTTGAGCAAAATTTGGATAGAATCTGATATAAAATCGGAACTAGGGTTCGAATTATTTCAATGAAAATTTGAGAAATTATTTATATAGAATTTTGCTAAAACTGCTGCTTTGTTAAGAAATGTATTTTGTGCTGGACCGTGAAGGTGGGGAATTCTGAATGAAATATATGTATGTGCTACTAATGTCATTATCTGAAAATGTCTAATCAATTAGATTTACATTTTAAGCTCAATTCCAATGCAAATCAATTGATATTCTAAAGGCCATCTATCAAGTGCAAATGATTTAGATTGCTAAAATTTAATTCATACATTAATTTGAGCAAACACGAGTGTTTTAATTAGTTAGATTGCAACACTTTTAAAGAGAAGTTTGGCGATAATCGGAACATTTTTCATAAACAAATTCCACACAAATGTTAACAACAAAGCTTAGACTAGGGCAGTGGACTAAACATTTAAGTTTTTTAGTATTTATATGTTTAGTAGCAAATCAGGTCCATAGAGTACAACCGGAAACAGATGATGTCGATTATGATATTTCGGATACTTATATAGTGCAACGTCCTCCCTACAAAATGGATCCAACCTATAGAAATCCCTATAAACCAGTTAGTAAACATACACAACGCAAAAACAAACCGCGACATTTTGCCAGCACTACCGAATCGCTGTGTGTGAGAAATTTGAAGAAGAAAAAGGCCGAAGAGGAAAGAGAAAATCCACCCAAAAAGGTGGTGATAAGTGGTAATCGTTGGCATGGACCGGTACAATACGGTGAATATATGTGGAAAACTAAAAAGCAAGAAAAACGTACTAATAGATTAAGACCTATATCGCAGATTGAGAGAAAGTTGCATAAGTGCTATAAATGGGTTAAGTATGTGATTATATGGGTGTAGAGTAATTAAAAAGGATATTGAATGTTTTTGTTTTATATTTTAGCTCCAAGGAACTTAAACAGTATGAATGGCCAGCCATTATACAAACTATAGAAAGTAAAGATTTATATCATATCGAAATTTGTTGTCCCGATTTTGGACCTATACGTTATATGGGCAATACTTTATGTCGTCCATTTTGTTCAAATTGTCGCAATGGTGATTGTATTGCGCCTGAAAAGTGTCGTTGTTTCGATGGCTTCGTTTTGACTGATAACGAAGAGTGTGTCTTCACATGCCCCATTTCCTGTTTAAATGGTCGCTGCAATTTATTAAAGAACACTTGTTTGTGCAATAATGGCTACAAGTTGGATGAGACTAAACAATTCTGCCGGCCGATTTGTCGTTCCGGCTGTGGTGCTAATCCTTTGCACAATTGTACTGCCCCTGAGGTCTGTGGTTGTGTGAAGGGTTATTCATTGACCGACAATGATTGCCAGCCTATAGCAAGGGGATGAAGAGTTTTTAGATTTTTGTAAAAAGTCTTTAATAAATTAAAATTATACTCCCGAAATTTTTCTTGTTTTTTTTTTCTACGCCTTGAGTTAATAGTGAATACTATATCAATTCTCTTAACGCATCATTTCTTATCTCTTCATATTTAAAATAAATTTTCAAAACAGCTTTGTTTGAGTACTATTCACAAACAGTCGATTTAGTTACTCATCGGATCTTATACAATTAACAACATTTAAAATCAGTGGAAATACTATTTAAGAATATTGAATATTATGACAACTTTACGGGATTTTGCAATCAAAACAATCTTATCTCTAGTATTTTTATGCTCATTCTTACACACAATACAAACGGAATATCATACAACAAAATACACAACCACCACAACTACAAAACAACCGATAATACGTTCACCGGGTCTCTCACTACCGCAGAGACATTCGAATCCCCCTAAATGTACCAAGGAAGTGCCGTAAGTTAAGAAACAAAACTAAAAATAAAGAAAATTTTCTTTACACTCTCAATTTTCAGCGCCATTTTCTTTCAGTACGAAAGAGATGTCCAAGTCATAGGTAATAGTTCGCTTAATCCTCATTTCAATTTGATTGAAGTCTGCTGCCAGGGTTACAAACGTTATGATTTCGATTGGACTAAATGTGTTCCGGACTGTGGACAAAAGTGTCAACGTAATGGTTTCTGTTTAGAGGGAGGAGTTTGTCAATGTTTTGAGGATTTTGTGCTAAATCATCGTAATGATTGTGTACCCACTTGCCCCTTGGGTTGTCCTAATGGAGAATGTTATCTTAACGGCACTTGTGTTTGCAATAAGGGTTATCAATTGGATGCTACTAAGAAATACTGTGAACCTAATTGCACCCTGGGTTGTGGTCGCAATGAAGTATGTGATGCTCCTGATACTTGTGTGTGTGCCGAGGGTTATGCCAAGGCCCTGCATAGTCCGAATGCTGCGCAAATGGGTTGCCAGCCGGTATGTATACCGGACTGTGGTTTTGGCCATTGTGTGGGCCCCAATCAATGTGAGTGTTTTCCTGGTTATCAACAGAGAGTGAATAGTTCGATATGCGAAAGTAATTGTTATTTGTAAGTCATTGAAGTTAATAACTCAGAAAATCATTTAACCGAAATCGTATTACAGACGCTGTGAAAATGGTTTTTGTGCCAATCGCACAGGTTGCATATGCCAGGATGGCTATAAGTATGATGTAAATACCACCTCCTGTCTGCCAGACTGTGGTGATGATTGTGAGAATGGTATTTGTACAGCGCCTGGATTTTGCAGGTGTTTCAATGGCTATCAGCGTAATGGTTCCAAATGCGAAGCTATATGTGAACAGTAAGTTAAAGTTTTACATTAGTTTTAGTTTGGTTCTAGTTCAGTTCTAGTTAAGTACTAGTTCAGTTCCAGTTCAGTTCTAGTTCAGCTCTAGTTCAGTTCTAGTTCAGTTCTAGTTCAGTTCTATTTCAGTTCTAGTTCAGTTCTAGTTCAGTTCTAGTTCAGTTCTAGTTCAGTTCTAGTTCAGTTCTAGTTCAGTTCTAGTTCAGTTCTAGTTCAGTTCTAGTTCAGTTCTAGTTCAGTTCTAGTTCAGTTCTAGTTCAGTTCTAGTTCTGTTCTAGTTCTGTTCTAGTTCTGTTCTAGTTCTGTTCTAGTTCTGTTCTAGTTCTGTTCTAGTTCTGTTCTAGTTCTCTTCTAGTTCTGTTCTAGTTCTGTTCTAGTTCCGTTCTAGTTCTGTTCTAGTTCTGTTCTAGTTCTGTTCTAGTTCTGTTCTAGTTCTGTTCTAGTTCTGTTCTAGTTCTGTTCTAGTTCTGTTCTAGTTCTGTTCTAGTTCTGTTCTAGTTCTAGTTCTGTTCTAGTTCTAGTTCTAGTTCTGTTCTAGTTCTAGTTCTAGTCTGTTCTAGTTCTGTTCTAGTTCTGTTCTAGTTCTGTTCTAGTTCTGTTCTAGTTCTGTTCTAGTTCTGTTCTAGTTCTGTTCTAGTTCTGTCTAGTTCTGTTCTAGTTCTGTTCTAGTTCTGTTCTAGTTCTGTTCTAGTTCTGTTCTGTTCTGTTCTAGTTCTGTTCTGTTCTAGTTCTGTTCTAGTTCTGTTCTAGTTCTGTTCTAGTTCTGTTCTAGTTCTGTTCTAGTTCTGTTCTAGTTCTAGTTCTGTTCTAGTTCTGTTCTAGTTCTGTTCTAGATTCTAGTTCTGTTTAGTCTGTTCTAGTTCTAGTTCTGTTCTAGTTCTGTTCTAGTTCTGTTCTAGTTCTAGTTCTAGTTCTGTTCTAGTTCTGTTCTAGTTCTGTTCTAGTTCTGTTCTAGTTCTGTTCTAGTTCTGTTCTAGTGTCTGTTCTAGTTCTTCTTGTTCTGTTCTGTTCTGTTCTAGTTTCTGTTCTGTTCTAGTTCTGTTCTAGTTCTGTTCTAGTTCTGTTCTAGTTCTGTTCTAGTTCTGTTCTAGTTCTGTTCTAGTTCTGTTCTAGTTCTGTTCTATAAGTCGGTTCTAGTTCTGTTCTAGTTCTGTTCTGTTCTAGTTCTGTTCTAGTTCTGTTCTAGTTCTGTTCTAGTTCTGTTCTAGTTCTGTTCTTGTTCTGTTCTAGTTCTGTTCTAGTTCTGTCTGTTCTAGTTCTGTTCTAGTTCTGTTCTAGTTCTGTTCTAGTTCTGTTCTAGTTCTGTTCTAGGTCTGTTCTAGTTCTGTTCTAGTTCTGTTCTTGTTCTGTCTGTTCTAGTTCTGTTCTAGTTCTGTTCTAGTTTCTGTTCTGTTCTGTTCTAGTTCTGTTCTAGTTCTAGTTCTGTTCTATTTCTGTTCTAGTTCTGTTCTAGTTCAGTTCTAGTTCTGTTCTACTTCTGTTCTAGTTCTGTTCTAGTTCTGTTCTAGATCTGTTCGAGTTCTGTTCTAGTTTAGTTCGAACTTATTTCCATCTTATTCCTATCTTTTTAGTGGCTGTGGCTTTTATGGCAAATGTATTGCACCTGGAGTTTGTGGTTGCGCCATCGTCGATGGACCTTTTAAATCATATCAGAAATGTGAACTCGGCTTTTGCAACTCCAAGGGACGTTGTCGTTGTCAAGTTGGCACGACTAGATTTATAAATCAATGTTTGGTTCCAGACAAAGTGACGACATATGCATCTATGAAACACCAGAAACTAAATGAGGCCTTGATTGAAGAGTTTAATTTGTTAATTGGAAGACATTTTACACTGGGTGATTTTACACCATTTGTGGGTTATTTTAAAAAGAAATAAATAAACTGTAGATTAAGAAAAATTACGAAAAACTAAATAAATATTTGGTTTTAGTTCATAATAGTTTTTGAGTGTACCTAACTATTTTTTAATTTTTAAATGTTTTATTTTTGTTTTATATTTTTGTAGGTTTGTTTCATGTATTGCAAATCTAGCTTCACCAAATAAAAAAATATCAGATATAAGTGAAACAGTTGTTGCATATCTTGAGGCATTTATGTATATAGAGTTGATATAGGTTGTTGGTCTCTTTGTTTTCAAAGCCAAGTGTATGACATTTGTTCACGATAATTTTCTTGCTGTTAGTTTGATAATCACACATGAACTTTTTCAGTGCAATCCCATTAAAAACAATAATTAAAATAAATTTAAATAGACAGTGATAATAATAACTGGGTCACCCACAGTAAAGAATTACAAATAAACTATATTATAAAATTAACTAACAAGAGAAAAAAATTTATGTAAAAATAATATGCTTCTTTATTTATTAATTTTTAGTAAATACTTTCACATCTTCCACCTTTGCGTTCATAGCCCGGAAAACATTCACAAGTATCCGGTGCTGAACAAATGCCATAACTGCAGTCCTCATTACAAACGGGATCACATTTCACCAAATGTGGTGACAAAGGATTGCGTTTATAGCCATCACAGCAAAAGGACACAGTACGTATGCGCAATTCAGGATCACTTGCTTTGGCTCTATTCGGCAAAAAAAAAAAAAAAAACAAAATTATTTCCTTTGTATATATTTATCATGCTCCCTTTGTTGGTTCGAACTTACTGCACTTTCTTATAACAGATACCAGCTGACATGGTACTTTTCACATCCAATATAAATCTGTCTTTCTCACTCATTGTATTCAATTTCCAAAATTGTGCATGGGCTTGTACACTGATGATGGAAACTATAATGAACGCCAAACATATTACTTTTTCATGCATTTTTTATGTTTTTTTTACAATTTAATTATTTTTCAAATATAATGTTTTCACTTGTGGATTTCAGAAAAAAATACACTTTTTCATTACAAGATCTCTTTAATGACTGTGACACGCTTGTAGTTTTTATTAAAATAAACTTGGAATTTCTGTGCTTATACAAATTTTAAAACATATTTCATTCACTCTTCTTATCAGTTGCGGATGGCGTCGAAAGAAAGTAAATACTTTTTGTCAAGAAGAATTTCCTAGAGTATTTTCTTTAAAAATTATTTTCTTTTGTTTTGAAGATGACAGAGAGTATGTCCATGAAATGATTTATTTAAAAAAATTGAGAACAGTTTTAAATAAGAGAATCTTATGGATATTTAAACACCCATTAGGAAATACACAAGAGCTCAACTAGAACAGAACTGAACTAGAACTAAACTAGAACTAAACTAGAACTAAACTAGAACTGAACTAGAACTGAACTAGAACTGAACTAGAACCGAACTAGAACTGAACTAGAACTGAACTAGAACTGAACTAGAACTGAACTAGAACTGAACTAGAACTGAATTAGAACTGAACTAGAACTGAACCAGAACTGAACTAGAACTGAACTAGAACTGAACTAGAACTGAACTAGAACTGAACTAGAACTGAACCAGAACTGAACCAGAACTGAACTAGAACTGAACTGGAACTGAACTAGAACTGAACTAGAACTGAACTAGAACTGAACTAGAACTGAACTAGAACTAAACTAGAACTGAACTAGAACTGAACTAGAACTGAACTAGAACTGAACCAGAACTGAACTAGAACTGAACTAGAACTGAACTAGAACTGAACTAGAACTGAACTAGAACTGAACTAGAACTGAACTAGAACTGAACTAGAACTGAACTAGAACTGAACTAGAACTGAACTAGAACTGAACTAGAACTGAACTAGAACTGAACTAGAACTGAACTAGAACTGAACTAGAACTGAACTAGAACTGAACTAGAACTGAACTAGAACTGAACTAGAACTGAACTAGAACTGAACTAGAACTGAACTAGAACTGAACTAGAACTGAACTAGAACTGAACTAGAACTGAACTAGAACTGAACTAGAACTGAACTAGAACTGAACTAGAACTGAACTAGAACTGAACTAGAACTGAACTAGAACTGAACTAGAACTGAACTAGAACTGAACTAGAACTGAACTAGAACTGAACTAGAACTGAACTAGAACTGAACTAGAACTGAACTAGAACTGAACTAGAACTGAACTAGAACTGAACTAGAACTGAACTAGAACTGAACTAGAACTGAACTAGAACTGAACTAGAACTGAACTAGAACTGAACTAGAACTGAACTAGAACTGAACTAGAACTGAACTAGAACTGAACTAGAACTGAACTAGAACTGAACTAGAACTGAACTAGAACTGAACTAGAACTGAACTAGAACTGAACTAGAACTGAACTAGAACTGACTAGAACTGAACTAGAACTGAACTAGAACTGAACTAGAACTGAACTAGAACTGAACTAAACTGAACTAGAACTAGAACTGAACTAGAACTGAAGTAGAACTGAACTAGAACTGAACTAGAACTGAACTAGAACTGACTAGAACTGAACTAGAACTGAACTAGAACTGAACTAGAACTGAACTAGAACTGAACTAGAACTGAACTAGAACTGAACTAGAACTGAACTAGAACTGAACTAGAACTGAACTAGAACTGAACTAGAACTGAACTAGAACTGAACTAGAACTGAACTAGAACTGAACTAGAACTGAACTAGAACTGAACTAGAACTGAACTAGAACTGAACTAGAACTGAACTAGAACTGAACTAGAACTGAACTAGAACTGAACTAGAACTGAACTAGAACTGAACTAGAACTGAACTAGAACTGAACTAGAACTAGAACTGAACTAGAACTGAACTAGAACTGAACTAGAACTGAACTAGAACTGAACTAGAACTGAACTAGAACTGAACTGAACTAGAACTGAACTAGAACTGAACTAGAACTGAACTAGAACTGAACTAGAACTGAACTAGAACTGAATTAGAACTGAACTAGACTGAACTAGAACTGAACTAGAACTGAACTAGAACTGAACTAGAACTGAACTAGAACTGAACTAGAACTGAACTAGAACTGAACAGACTGAACTAGAACGTAAACTAGAACTAGAACTGAACAACATTAGAACATTATTAGAATGTTTATACAACTGTTAATTTTTATAAATTAAAATTCTGTTTATATAAATTGTTTAACTTTTGTAAACAAATAAATTGACATCATAACATGACGTTACTTGTATTCTCGGAACCTGTGAGAACAATCTAAGCATATTTTCAAATAATAAAATATCTTAAATCAATTCAGATGTTAGCTGTCTACAAATCAAACAAATTATAAATAAATAGTGATATGAAATCATTTTAAAATTATAAACAAAGAAAAAAACAGTAACAAATAAAACAGGTTCACAAAAAGTGTTTAAGAGAACAATTTCTGTATTTTCTATTATAAAAGAGAACAAGAGAAAGAGAGCGTTTATACTAAGCTCAAGATAATCTTTAATTCTGCTCACATTATTAAATCTTAACAAAATAAAATGCATTATTTTGATAATGAATAATAAAATAAATTTATTTCAACTTAGTTTTTGTTAGACTTTTAAGGAATTGAGACGTTAACACTCCCTAAATTATTAAGTTAAGTCAGTTTTATTTTAATATATTTGATGATCATGAAGTCATTTCTAGTTGTGACAACAATCTTAATGTTGTTCTATGGCTGCCAGGGCCAATATAAAAATACCGGCATTAAGACACGTTATCCGGCGCCCAGTTCTGGAAATTTAATTTTGGGCAATGCCACTGAACATAATGAGACCAATCATTATGTTTATAGTCAACAGCATTTTGAAAACCCTCAACCACAGCACAATACCTACGATCGTTATAATGGCAATTTTAGGCCGGCAGAATATTACCCAGGTGGAGCTGCAGTACCCACCATGACTAGACAGCCGGTAGTTTTAGACGCCACAGCGGAGTTTATTAACAAAACCAGATCAGCCATGGCTTCGGGTATTTGCTATACAGAAGTACCGTAAGTTAAATAAAGTTCTTGTTTCTCAATTCATTATTGATGGGATATGAACAATGCTATTGAAATGAACTACTAACCTTCACATCCTCATTATTGTTGATAATATTTATTTAGATTTGTTTATATGAATATTAAATTAAACTAGAGCAGTGTTTTTTTTATATAAAAATGAAAAATATTTATTAATTGTTCATCAGAAGCTGAGCATGGCAGGCATTTAATCAAATATTATTGAAATTTCTCAGAAATTGATAAAGAAATCAGAAGTAATATTTGTTTTTAAATAACACTAGTAAAAAGTATAATTATGTTTGGGGATCCGAGAAGACTAAACATTTTCGTTCACAAACATTAATTTAACAAAAAAAGAAAAAAAAAATTTTATATAAAATATTGGTGAAAAAATTTTTTTCTTCATAAAATCGTTCAGTTTTAGTTCAGTTCTAGTTCAGTTCTAGTTCAGTCCTAGTTCAGTTCTAGTTCAGGTCTAGTTCAGTTCTAGTTCAGTTCTAGTTCAGTTCTAGTTCAGTTCTAGTTCAGTTCTAGTTCAGTTCTAGTTCTAGTTCAGTTCTAGTTCAGTTCTAGTTCAGTTCTAGTTCAGTTCTAGTTCAGTTCTAGTTCAGTTCTAGTTCAGTTCTAGTTCAGTTCTAGTTCAGTTCTAGTTCAGTTCTAGTTCAGTTCTAGTTCAGTTCTAGTTCAGTTCTAGTTCAGTTCTAGTTCAGTTCTAGTTCAGTTTCTAGTTCAGTTCTAGTTCAGTTCTAGTTCAGTTCTAGTTCAGTTCTAGTTTCAGTTCTAGTTCAGTTCTAGTTCAGTTCTAGTTCAGTTCTAGTTCAGTTCTAGCTCAGTTCTAGTTCAGTTCTAGTTCAGTTCTAGTTTAGTTCTAGTTCATCCTAGTTCAGTTCTGTTCAGTTCTTGTTCAGTTCTAGTTCAGTTCTAGTTCAGTTCTAGTTCAGTTCTATTTCAGTTTTAGTTCAGTTTTAGTTCAGTTCTAGTTCAGTTCTAGTTCAGTTCTAGTTCAGTTCTAGTTCAGTTCTAGTTCAGTTCGAGTTCAGTTCTATTTCAGTTCTATTTCAGTTTAGTTCGGTTCTAGTTCAGTTCTAGTTCAGTTCTAGTTCAGTTCTAGTTCAGTTCTAGTTCAGTTCTAGTTCAGTTCTAGTCAGTTCTAGTTCAGTTCTAGTTCAGTTCTAGTTCAGTTCTAGTTCAGTCTAGTTCAGTTCTAGTTCAGTTCTAGTTCAGTTTCTAGTTCAGTTCTAGTTCAGTTCTAGTTCAGTTCTAGTTCAGTTCTAGTTCAGTTCTAGTTCAGTTCTAGTTCAGTTCTAGTTCAGTTCTAGTTCAGTTCTAGTTCAGTTCTAGTTCAGTTCTAGTTCAGTTCTAGTTCAGTTCTAGTTCAGTTCTAGTTCAGTTCTAGTTCAGTTCTAGTTCAGTTCTAGTTTCTAGTTCAGTTCTAGTTCAGTCTAGTTCAGTTCTATTCAGTTCTAGTTCAGTTCTAGTTCAGTTCTAGTCAGTTCTAGATCAGTTCTAGTTCAGTTCTAGTTCAGTTCTAGTTCAGTTCTAGTTCAGTCCTAGTTCAGTTCTAGTTCAGTTCTAGTTCAGTTTAGTTCAGTTCTAGTTCAGTTCTAGTTCAGTTTCTAGTTTCAGTTTCTAGTTCAGTTCTAGTTCAGTTCTAGTTCAGTTCTAGTTCAGTTCTAGTTCAGTTCTAGTTCAGTTCTAGTTCAGTTCTAGTTCAGTTCTAGTTCAGTTCTAGTTCAGTCTAGTTCAGTTCTAGTTCAGTTCTAGTTCAGTTCTAGTTCAGTTCTAGTTCAGTTCTAGTTCAGTTCTAGTTCAGTTCTAGTTCAGTTCTAGCTCAGTTCTAGTTCAGTTCTAGTTCAGTTCTAGTTCATCCTAGTTCATCCTAGTTCAGTTCTGTTCAGTTCTTGTTCAGTTCTAGTTCAGTTCTAGTTCAGTTCTAGTTCAGTTCTATTTCAGTTTTAGTTCAGTTTTAGTTCAGTTCTAGTTCAGTTTTAGTTCAGTTCTAGTTTCAGTTCTAGTTCAGTTCTAGTTCAGTTCGAGTTCAGTTCTATTTCAGTTTTAGTTCGGTTCTAGTTCAGTTCTAGTTCTGTTCTAGTTTAGTTCTTATTTATTTCGTACTCAATTCTGGTTCAGCCTTTATATTGTTTTAGTTCAGTTCTATTTAATTTCAATTATCTTCGAAATTGCGACTTGCATTTCTTTGTAAAACGCATTTCTTTTTGACATTTTTGAAAAAAATTGTGTTTTAAACATTTAAGAAGATCTGTGTGAACAGTTGTTTTTAACGGAACAAATAGTGTGGATGTTAAACACATTAAGGTTAAAGAATTTTAAAAACAACATGTTAAATTTATCTTATTTTATATTAAACAGAACTTTTTAAAAATTTGTGGATTTTTTAATTCATATTTATAATAAATCCATTTATGTTTATCTTCCCAGCACTGCCTCCCTAGTCCATGGCTCCTGGCATTGTACCCGTTGGTAATGGCACCAAACCAGAAATGAGTAAAATTCAGGTTTGCTGCGAAGGCTACGAACGTAATCCTCATGTCTTCAAACGTTGCGATCCCATCTGTGACGATGATTGTCCCAATGGCATTTGTACCGCTCCCAATACCTGTGTCTGCATGCCTGGTCATGTGCGTAACGAAGATAATAAGTGTATTACCACCTGCCCCATAGGCTGTGGTAATGGCGTATGTGGTGATAATAATGAATGCAGATGTAAACCTGGTTATACTCTAGAACCGGTGCAACAAAAGTACTGTGTACCTCTGTGTGAACCCGCTTGTCAATTCGGTAAATGTGTGGCTCCCAATAAGTGTGCCTGCCAGAATGGTTATCGTCTCACGGCTATCGGAGTATGTGAACCACATTGTGAGAATTGTGATAATGGTAAATGTACCTCACCGGGTTATTGTAGCTGTAATACTGGCTACATTAAAGTCGGTGCTGTATGTGAGCCAGTGTGTGCTCGGTAAGTTTTTTAATTAAATGACACCGAAGAATAAGGATTTCAACTCCAATTTATTTATTTTAGCGGCTGCGACAAAGGGACGTTGCATCGCCCCAGATACCTGCTCTTGTGAACAAGGTTATGAATGGATCACACCGGCACTAAGTGTGTGCCCCACTGCGATGTACCCTGTTTGAATGGTGTGTGCGGAGGCAATAATCAATGTGTCTGTAATTCCGGTTATGTACCCGATGATTACAGCCCAATATGTGTAAACCCCATTGCCCTCTAGGTTGCCCTAATGGTTTTTGTACCTCACCTAATTTCTGCATTTGCAAACCAGGTTTCATCAAGACCGGTATCAAGGGACGTCAATCGTGCACTCCCGTTTAAATTGATTAAGTTGTGATTTATTGTTAAATAATAATGGAAATTATTGTATCAGCTTAACGAAATAAATAAAGTGCTGTGTTTTTAAAATGTTTTAATTTTAAATTTAAATGTTAATTAATTACGTGATTACAAAAGACAAGTTCAGTTCTAGTTCAGTTCTAGTTCAGTTCTAGTTCGTTCAGTTCAGTTCAGTTCAGTTCTAGTTCAGTTCTAGTTCAGTTCTAGTTCAGTTCTAGTTCAGTTCTAGTTCAGTTCTAGTTCAGTTCTAGTTCAGTTCTAGTTCAGTTCTAGTTCAGTTCTAGTTCAGTTCTAGTTCAGTTCTAGTTCAGTTCTAGTTCAGTTCTAGTTCAGTTCTAGTTCAGTTCTAGTTCAGTTCTAGTTCAGTTCTAGTTCAGTTCTAGTTCAGTTCTAGTTCAGTTCTAGTTCAGTTCTAGTTCAGTTCTAGTTCAGTTCTAGTTCAGTTCTAGTTCAGTTCTAGTTCAGTTCTAGTTCAGTTCTAGTTCAGTTCTAGTTCAGTTCTAGTTCAGTTCTAGTTAAGTTCTAGTTTAGTTCTAGTTAAGTTCTAGTTTAGTTCTAGTTCAGTTCTAGTTCAGTTCTAGTTCAGTTCTAGTTCAGTTCTAGTTCAGTTCTAGTTCAGTTCTAGTTCAGTTCTAGTTCAGTTCTAGTTCAGTTCTAGTTCAGTTCTAGTTCAGTTCTAGTTCAGTTCTAGTTCAGTTCTAGTTCAGTTCTAGTTCAGTTCTAGTTCAGTCTAGTTAGTTCTAGTTTAGTTCTAGTTCAGTTCTAGTTCAGTTCTAGTTCAGTTCTAGTTCAGTTCTAGTTCAGTTCTAGTTCAGTTCTAGTTCAGTTCTAGTTAAGTTCTAGTTTAGTTCTAGTTCAGTTCTAGTTCAGTTCTAGTTCAGTTCTAGTTCAGTTCTAGTTCAGTTCTAGTTCAGTTCTAGTTCAGTTCTAGTTCAGTTCTAGTTCAGTTCTAGTTCAGTTCTAGTTCAGTTCTAGTTCAGTTCTAGTTCAGTTCTAGTTCAGTTCTAGTTCAGTTCTAGTTCAGTTCTAGTTCAGTTCTAGTTCAGTTCTAGTTCAGTTCTAGTTCAGTTCTAGTTCAGTTCTAGTTCAGTTCTAGTTCAGTTCTAGTTCAGTTCTAGTTCAGTTCTAGTTCAGTTCTAGTTCAGTTCTAGTTCAGTTCTAGTTCAGTTCTAGTTCAGTTCTAGTTCAGTTCTAGTTCAGTTCTAGTTCAGTTCTAGTTCAGTTCTAGTTCAGTTCTAGTTCAGTTCTAGTTCAGTTCTAGTTCAGTTCTAGTTCAGTTCTAGTTCAGTTCTAGTTCAGTTCTAGTTCAGTTCTAGTTCAGTTCTAGTTCAGTTCTAGTTCTAGTTCAGTTCTAGTTCAGTTCTAGTTCAGTTCTAGTTCAGTTCTAGTTCAGTTCTAGTTCAGTTCTAGTTCAGTTCTAGTTCAGTTCTAGTTCAGTTCTAGTTCAGTTCTAGTTCAGTTCTAGTTCAGTTCTAGTTCAGTTCTAGTTCAGTTCTAGTTCAGTTCTAGTTCAGTTCTAGTTCAGTTCTAGTTCAGTTCTAGTTAGTAGTTTAGTTCTAGTTAAGTTCTAGTTTAGTTCTAGTTCAGTTCTAGTTCAGTTCTAGTTCAGTTCTAGTTCAGTTCTAGTTCAGTTCTAGTTCAGTTCTAGTTCAGTTCTAGTTCAGTTCTAGTTCAGTTCTAGTTCAGTTCTAGTTCAGTTCTAGTTCAGTCTAGTTCAGTTCTAGTTCAGTTCTAGTTCAGTTCTAGTTCAGTTCTAGTTCAGTTCTAGTTCAGTTCTAGTTAAGTTCTAGTTTAGTTCTAGTTCAGTTCTAGTTCAGTTCTAGTTCAGTTCTAGTTCAGTTCTAGTTCAGTTCTAGTTCAGTTCTAGTTCAGTTCTAGTTCAGTTCTAGTTCAGTTCTAGTTCAGTTCTAGTTCAGTTCGTTCAGTTCTAGTTCAGTTCTAGTTCAGTTCTAGTTCAGTTCTAGTTCAGTTCTAGTTCAGTTCTAGTTCAGTTCTAGTTCAGTTCTAGTTCAGTTCTAGTTCAGTTCTAGTTCAGTTCTAGTTCAGTTCTAGTTCAGTTCTAGTTCAGTTCTAGTTCAGTTCTAGTTCAGTTCTAGTTCAGTTCTAGTTCAGTTCTAGTTCAGTTCTAGTTCAGTTCTAGTTCAGTTCTAGTTAAGTTCTAGTTTAGTTCTAGTTCAGTTCTAGTTCAGTTCTAGTTCAGTTCTAGTTCAGTTCTAGTTCAGTTCTAGTTCAGTTCTAGTTCAGTTCTAGTTCAGTTCTAGTTCAGTTCTAGTTCAGTTCTAGTTCAGTTCTAGTTCAGTTCTAGTTCAGTTCTAGTTCAGTTCTAGTTCAGTTCTAGTTCAGTTCTAGTTCAGTTCTAGTTCAGTTCTAGTTCAGTTCTAGAGTTCTAGTTAGTTCTAGTTCAGTTCTAGTTCAGTTCTAGTTCAGTTCTAGTTCAGTTCTAGTTCAGTTCTAGTTCAGTTCTAGTTCAGTTCTAGTTCAGTTCTAGTTCAGTTCTCAGTTCTAGTTCAGTTCTAGTTCAGTTCTAGTTCAGTTCTAGTTCAGTTCTAGTTCAGTTCTAGTTCAGTTCTAGTTCAGTTCTAGTTCAGTTCTAGTTCAGTTCTAGTTCAGTTCTAGTTCAGTTCTAGTTCAGTTCTAGTTCAGTTCTAGTTCAGTTCTAGTTCAGTTCTAGTTCAGTTCTAGTTCAGTTCTAGTTCAGTTCTAGTTCAGTTCTAGTTCAGTTCTAGTTCAGTTCTAGTTCAGTTCTAGTTCAGTTCTAGTTCAGTTCTAGTTCAGTTCTAGTTCTTTAGTTCAGTTCTAGTTCAGTTCTAGTTCAGTTCTAGTTCAGTTCTAGTTCAGTTCTAGTTCAGTTCTAGTTCAGTTCTAGTTCAGTTCTAGTTCAGTTCTAGTTCAGTTCTAGTTCAGTTCTAGTTCAGTTCTAGTTCAGTTCTAGTTCAGTTCTAGTTCAGTTCTAGTTCAGTTTGTTCAGTTCTAGTTCAGTTCTAGTTCAGTTCTAGTTCAGTTCTAGTTCAGTTCTAGTTCAGTTCTAGTTCAGTTCTAGTTCAGTTCTAGTTCAGTTCTAGTTCAGTTCTAGTTCAGTTCTAGTTCAGTTTCTAGTTCAGTTCTAGTTCTGTTCTAGTTCAGTTCTAGTTCTGTTCTAGTTCAGTTCTAGTTCAGTTCTAGTTCAGTTCTAAGGTTCAGTTCTAGTTCAGTTCTAGTTCAGTTCTAGTTCAGTTCTAGTTCAGTTCTAGTTCAGTTCTAGTTCAGTTCTAGTTCAGTTCTAGTTCAGTTCTAGTTCAGTTCTAGTCAGTTCTAGTTCAGTTATAGCTCAGTTCTAGTTCAGTTCTAGTCAGTTCTAGTTCAGTTCCAGTTCAGTTCTAGTTAAGTTCTTAATCAATTCTAGTTCAGTTCATTATCAATTCTAGTTGACAGAATTTAATACACCCTCTTAACTCCACCACTCTGCATAATTCTTACATTTTATCAAGTTTGTTTGGGTTTTTTGCCTCAAACCTAAACAATGTTTGTTCTACTAAATACTTACTGATATCGTTTCACATGTTTACTGACCTTGGCCTTCAAAAATAGCATAAGTATTATCTAAAGGCGCATGCATGCATAACTCGTGTCTAATGTGATTATTGCTAAAATTTCGGTTTTATTTAGAATTTAAATAGTCTACCAATTAAAGCGTTAAATTCATAATTTAATTGTTTATTATAGAACTCGCGCTGACTGTAACTATAAATCGAATTAACTAGAGATGAAGAAAACAAACATTGATCAATGAAATGAGACAAGCCAGCAGGACAAACACAACGACCAGAGGAATTGCAGGAACCAGATAAACATAGCTGAAGACCTGTACCACAGGCACATTTATTGGGGGCTATACATTTACCATAAGGGCCGCAACCTCTACAAGAGTAGGAAAATGTATGAGTTTTTAGTTATACATTTAACAAGGCTTACTTTTCACATATGGGCTTGCAGACATTATCCTGTAAGTTATAACCCTCAAAACATTTACAAACACCGGGAGCTATGCACACACCATGCTGACACAAACCCTGACAGTCGGGTAAACAGGAAGAGGTTAAGCTATCATAGGCAAAACCCACATGACATTGGCATTTATAACGCGATTCGCAAAAACCATTTAGACAGTTGCTAAAATATGGAAAGTTGTTCAGAGAATCAAAATATTTATCGTTCTTAAGCTTTACTTACATATAACACTCCGCCTCACATATATTTTTTCCTGGTCTTTTAATAAAACCCGCAAAACATTCACACTTATCGGGTGCTACACAACGACCATGGCCACAGTGAGGTAAACATATCGGTTGACAGCCTAAACCCTCTAACCATTTGTAACCCTTTTCGCAAACACATTGCCCGGGTGCTATACAACGCTGATGTAGTCCACAGGCTATGTGATAGCAATCGGGTACACAAAATTTCCTAGTCTCAGAATCTAATACATAACCAGGTTGACATATGCAGGTACCATCCAATAAACACTGACCATTTTCACAGGAAATCGGACAAGTGTGTATACAAATGCCCTCACGATTCTTAACAAAACCCTCAAAACATTCACAGTTTTCGGGTGAACGACAAAAACCATTCCGACAATTATCGGGAGAGGTGCGGCTACAGTCGGGTATACATTTCTGCCAGTCTCTCGGTGAACGTTTATAGCCTTCACAGCATACTTCGAAACGGTGGTAAAAGGGACTGGAGCCATTACCCTGTACCGGCAAGTACTCTTTGGTTTGATAATAAAAAGCTCTTTTTTAACAGAAACAAGTAAAACTATATTAATGAAACACTATTAAATTCCTAGAATTTCCTACTTACGGTTTCTCCTCAAAACATTTATTCTCCGTATCGTATATACTTTCATATAAAGTCAAATCCCAGCTGCTGGGAAATATATCCCCATATATCTCGGAGTACGAAACAGCTTTTGCCACTCTTATAAGCACAATACACACAATAATTTTTAATTTAATATTGAAAAACATTATTTAGTTTTTATATAATTATTAGTTTTAAACATTAAAATAAACATATTTGTATTAATTACTTATTTACGAAATCTTTTTAGAATTTAGTTCAAGCTTATCTGTAATTCTGAATTAAAAACACAAGCATTAAAACGTCTCTGATTTTAAAATCTTCAATACAATCTATGAACAGTTCTTATCAGTAATTGTTTAACCCTATTTCTTATTAAATATTTTTGGTTTTTAAAGAGAAATTAGTAAAAATCAACCATTGGGTTAAGGTTTATTTGTGATCGTATTGATTTCTCACCAAAATAGATATTTGCCTTCATAAATCGAAATTATATGAAAAGCTCATACCAATTAGGATCAATTCAAGTTCTCATCACAAATCGATATTTACCACATAAGACACCTAACATCTACAATTCGCTAAATAACGTCCCAATCGAAAAAAAATCCGTTATTCCTTGACTACTCAGCAAAATTTTAATCGATACTCAACTATAGACTAAACTATAGACTAGACTATAGACTAGATTATAGACCAGACTATAGATTACACTATAGACTAGAATATACACTAGACTATAGACTAGACTATAGACTAGAATATACACTAGACTATAGACTAGACTATAGACTAGACTATAGACTAGACTATAGACTAGACTATAGACTAGACTATAGACTAGACTATAGACTAGACTATAGACTAGACTATAGACTAGACTATAGACTAGACTATAGACTAGACTATAGACTAGACTATAGACTAGACTATAGACTAGACTATAGACTAGACTATAGACTAGACTATAGACTAGACTATAGACTAGACTATAGACTAGACTATAGACTAGACTATAGACTAGACTATAGACTAGACTATAGACTAGACTATAGACTAGACTATAGACTAGACTATAGACTAGACTATAGACTAGACTATAGACTAGACTATAGGCTAGACTATAGACTAGACTATAGACTAGACTATAGACTAGACTATAGACTAGACTATAGACTAGACTATAGACTAGACTATAGACTAGACTATAGACTAGACTATAGACTAGACTATAGACTAGACTATAGACTAGACTAGACTATGGACTAGATTAAGAGTAGACTATAGACTAGATTAAGAGTAGACTATAGACTAGATTATAGACTAGGTATTTAGTTAGTTAGTTAGTTAGTTAGTTAGTTAGTTAGTTAGTTAGTTAGTTAGATTAGTTAGTTAGTTAGTTTAGGAGTAGTTAGTTAGTGTTAGTTAGTTAGTTAGTTAGTTAGTTCGTTCGTTAGTTAGTTAGTAGTTAGGTTAGTTAGTTAGTTGTTAGTTAGTTAGTTAGTTAGTAGTTAGTTAGTTAGTTAGTTAGTTCGTTAGTTAGTTAGTAGTTAGTTAGTAGTTAGTAGTAGTTAGTAGTTAGTGAGTTAGTTAGTTAGTTAGTTAGTAGTTAGTTAGTAGTAGTTAGTTAGTTAGTTAGTTTTAGTAGTTAGTTAGTAGTTAGTTAGTTAGTTAGTTAGTTAGTAGTGTTAGTAGTTAGTTAGTTAGTTAGTTAGTTAGTTAGTTAGTAGTTAGTTAGTTAGTTAGTTAGTTAGTTAGTTAGTTAGTTAGTAGTTAGTTAGTTAGTGTAGTTAGTTAGTTAGTTAGTTAGTTAGTTAGTTAGTTAGTTAGTTAGTTAGTTAGTTAGTTAGTTAGTTAGTTAGTAGTTAGTTAGTTAGTTAGTTAGTTAGTTAGTTAGTTAGTTAGTTAGTTAGTAGTTAGTTAGTTAGTTAGTTAGTTAGTTCGTTAGTTAGTTAGTTAGTTAGTTAGTTAGTTTAGTAGTTAGTTAGTTAGTTAGTTAGTTAGTTAGTAGTTAGTAGTTAGTTAGTTAGTTAGTTAGTTAGTTAGTTAGTTAGTTAGTTAGTTCGTTAGTTAGTTAGTAGTAGTTAGTTAGTTAGTTAGTTAGTTAGTTAGTTAGTTAGTTAGTTAGTTAGTTAGTTAGTTAGTTAGTTAGTTAGTTAGTTAGTTAGTTAGTTAGTTAGTTAGTTAGTTAGTTAGTTAGTTAGTTAGTTAGTTAGTTAGTAGTTAGTTAGTTAGTTAGTTAGTTAGTAGTTAGTTAGTTAGTTAGTTAGTTAGTTAGTTAGTTAGTTAGTTAGTTAGTTAGTTAGTTAGTTAGTTAGTTAGTTAGTTAGTTAGTTAGTTAGTTAGTTAGTTAGTTAGTTAGTTAGTAGTTAGTTAGTTAGTTAGTTAGTTAGTTAGTAGTTAGTTAGTTAGTTAGTAGTTAGTTAGTTAGTTAGTAGTTAGTTAGTTAGTTAGTTAGTAGTTAGTAGTTAGTTAGTTTAGTTAGTAGTTAGTTAGTTAGTTAGTTAGTTAGTTAGTTAGTTAGTTAGTTAGTTAGTAGTTAGTTAGTTAGTTAGTTAGTTAGTTAGTTAGTTAGTTAGTAGTAGTTAGTTAGTAGTTAGTTAGTTAGTTAGTTAGTTAGTTAGTTCGTTAGTTAGTTAGTAGTAGTTAGTTAGTTAGTTAGTTAGTTAGTTAGTTAGTTAGTTAGTTAGTAGTTAGTTAGTTAGTTAGTTAGTTAGTATTAGTTAGTAGTTAGTTAGTTAGTTCGTTAGTTAGTTAGTTAGTTAGTTAGTTAGTTAGTTAGTAGTTAGTTAGTTAGTAGTTAGTTAGTTAGTTAGTTAGTTAGTAGTTAGTTAGTTAGAAAAGTGAAAGTATGTGACATCAAATTCGAGGCCTAGGCCTCAGACCGCAACACTTACTGCTGACCTACAGGAGGCGTTACTCGACTCAACAAATATCGGCTTTAGATCTTAAATCACATCGGAAATAATTTCTGCATTTTATAAGAGGATGTGGCAAAAAATTATTTTTTTTTAATAATTTTTATTAAAAAAAAAATTTCAAAATATACAATACAAATAAAAATCAAATTAAAATTAGTTTATAAAAAGTTAAAATATAAAATAAAATACAATATTTTGTTGCACAATAAATATAATTTGTAAAATAGCTTAACGTTAATTAAATTAAATGTGAGCAACCTTATGTGATGTATGAGAAATTTGTGGCACTTGTAAATATTTGGAATTTTGTGGTGGTATAATTAAATGTGAGATATGATGAGTTGTGGGGGCATTTAAGTGATTTGAAGGATGCTGTTGTTGCTGCTGCTGGAACTGCTGGTGGTGGTGATGATGCTGATGATGTTGAGAAGCCTGATGATGTTGCGAATGGGGCTGTTGCGGATGATGCTGTTGTTGTTGCTGGTGATGATGCTGTTGCTGCTGATGATGGTGTTGATGTGGAAACATATTGGAGGTATTAAGATGATTTTGTTGATGTAAAGCTGTGGGATAACGTATCTCATCGTATAAATGTGAATCCATGCTGCCTTTACGAGATTTAGGTGTAACCATTGAATATAAAGATTCTTTGCGTGCATAGGCGTAAGGTGTGGGCGTGGGTGTTTGCGAGGTTAACGAGGATGTATTACTGGGTGAATCATACAAGTCGGGTCCTAAGAAAAGAAAAGTGAAAAATTGTCATTAATATAAAATTTCTTTTAAGAAATTTGCTATTAATTAGACACTTACATACCCTCGATTTTATTGCGTACCATTTGTGTAAAGGCTGGTAAATCGGGCAAAGGTTTCAGAAAACTTTTATTCAAAGTACCAGCGCCTCCTAGAACGCTGCCACCCATTTCTTTCAAATGCTGTTCATTTGTATGAGGCGGTAGGGGTGGAGGTGTTATAACTATAGGAGCATTAACTCCGGGCACTAGGCTAACATTACGTGCTGCCAAGGCCGCCTCTACTTGGGCCTTTTGCAAATGATATCTACGATAAACATATAGAAAGCCTATACCTATAGCCACCATGATAATCAGCAATATCACCAGCAGAGTGGTAAGCACACTATTCTCATGATCAGCTGTATGATTCTCAGTGGATTTGGAAGTTTCTTCTTTACTCTTGCTGCCACTATGTATGCCAAATCCTGCCAAATTTATCTTCTCTTCCTGCGTCAAATTATGATGTGGCTGTGTGCCTGATGGCCAATTGGTTATAACATGTATTACTTCGGGAGTTTTGGCAGCACCATGTAAATTCTCCAATAACCCCGAACCCTGTTGATGAACAATAATCTTGGGTGTATGAGGAGGTTCTTCCTGTTTTATCACTATTACCTCGGGTATCGTTTTGACCGTGGTCAATTCTAATATCTGTGGTGGTAAAGCAAAATTTATATTTTCCGTTGTAGAGGTGGCTATGGTCACTATGTTTTTAGCTATGCGATCCAAATTGTGGGTTATATTGACAATGGTTGAATTTAGGGTGGCTATCATGACGTGCGTAGCATTTGGTACTATGGTGGGTTCCACCGGATTGTCACAGGCTCCCGTTTGAGGATGACACAATTTATTGTCACACTCACAAGCCTTGCGACACATAACACCATGTGTACCCATGGGACAGGGTTGTTCACAGCTGGAAAGAAGTGTGGGATATCAAAAGATGAATTCAGTTTGAAATTTTTATTTGTTTTAACTTACAATTCCCCTGTCCATCCTATGGTACAGTGACATATGCCAGATTTATTATCACAAGCAGCACCATTATGACAAAGACACTGATTTTTACACTCCAGACCCCAGTGATCATGATCGCAACCTTAAAAAGAGACATTTTACTTAATACTTTCAGCATTCAAAAACATAAAGATAACGTCGAATTCTTTAATTTCAATCTTTTTAAATCACTGATCATGAGATCATTTACTCTCTCAATTTACTCTCGAATTTAAATAAAATAATTTTGTGAAACCTATACTTACGTTGCGTACAGTGTTTGCCCATATAACCCGGTTCACAACTACACTCATCGGGTTTTAAACAATAGCCGCGACCACAACCACCTCGACAAACCGGTTTACAAATCGTATCATTGATCGATATGTTGCCTTCATAGCCAGAGCAACAGAAACGTATGGTGCGTGTCTTGGTTATATTCTGTATAAAACAAACAAAAATTAAATTAAACGTTCATATTTAAATACAGCCTAAAGGTAGGCAAACAATAT